GCGCCTCCCGGGCGGCATCTGGGTGCGGGATACACGTGTATGCCAACGGGGACCGGTACGAGGGAGAATTTTACCAGGGCAGATGCTCGGGCAGCGGAGTATACATATTTTCGGGCAGCGGGCGGTATGAAGGCGACTGGGTGGATGGAAAATACGATGGGTATGGGATTGAGACTTGGTCGCGGGGGAGTCGATATCGAGGGCAATACAGGAAGGGGCTGAGGGAGGGGTATGGGGTGTACCGGTTTTATACCGGGGATGTGTTTGCGGGGATGTGGGCTAAGGGGCAGAGCCATGGGGTGGGCGTGCAGACTTGCGGCGATGGCAGCAAGTATGTCGGGGAGTTTGCGTGGGGCGCCAAGCATGGATTCGGCAAGTATACTTTCAGGTGGGTGTGACAGCAGGGTTTGAGGTGAGAGCATTTGTTGGGGTGAGAGCAATTTATCAATAGTGATTGTTGTGGCATGACCATGATTTGACACCACCCCCACACACACTCTCTTTTTTTTTAACGTCTCCGAGCACACATGGGCCTGGGGTGCGTAACCCCAGCAGCAAGAACCGCTGCTACAATGGTGCTCCACAGTGCAATGAAAAATTTGTTCTTTGCTTATTTCCTCTTATCTCCTACACCAACCTCTTACCTCGACCGACTTTTTGAACTGTCCTCCAAACACCCCACACCAGGAGCGGCAGCACCTTTATGGACGCATACTTGGCTGACGCATGCATAGGTATGGGGTATGAGGGCAGGCCACTATGGTCTCTCACCCCTTTCTTTCCCCAATCACCCCCCCCACCTGAAATGGAGACACATACGCAGGAGAGTACGTTGCCGACCGCATGCACAGGTACGGGTTTTATGAGTTCAGCAACGAGCATCGGTACAAAGTGATCCCCACTTCTCTGTTTCCCCAACCCCTCCCCACCAGAAATAGAGACACATATGTAGGAGAGTATATCGCGGACTGTATGCACGGGTACGGCGTGTGTGAGTTCAGCAATGGGCACCGGTACGAGGGCAGGCAGGCATGCCACTATGGTCTCTCACCTCATTCCCCAAACCACCCCCCCTTCCCCCATCAGGAACGGCGATACCTACGCTGGGGAATATTTCGCAGATCGCATGCACGGGTACGGGGTGTATGAGTTCAGCAATGGGCACCGGTACGAGGGCGCATGGCATGAGGGGCGCAAGCAGGGCCTGGGCATGTACACCTTCCGCAACGGCGACATGCGCGCCGGCTACTGGCACCTCGGTGCTCTCGAGACCCGCAGCACCAACACCCTCCCCGCCTCGCCCACTGGGAGCGGCTCGGGTGGAGGGGGGATGATTGGGACGGTGGGGGGTGGGGGAGGTGGAGGGGTTGGGAGTGGTGGGGTTGGGGGGCCGGGCGGGGTGGGGGTTGGTGGTGGGGAGAGTGGGGCTGGGGGAGCGGCAGGTGCATTGGGTGGTGGGGCAGGGGCAGGGACAGGGGGAGGAGCGGGGATGGCGGGAGGGGTGGCAGGAGGGGCGGCAGCAGGGCCGGGAGGAGGCCCGGGAGTGTCGACAGAGTTGCTGGGAGGAGGAGGGGGAGGCAGTGGGTTGGTGTCGCCGGTACGGACTCCTTTGTCTGCTGGTGGGATGGGGCTGTCCACGCCACTAACGCCGCACACGCCGCACTCGGCCTCGTCACCCAACGCTGTCAACCACTCCCGCGTGCTTCATGCCGTTCAGGTGGGTAATTGGATGGGTTCTCAGGTGCTTCATTCCGTTCAGGTGGCTGTCCAGGCTGATCAAGAGGGTTCTCAGGCTGTCCAGGTGGGTGCTTGGGTGCAGCATGCCGTTGAAGTGGGTGCTCCGGTGCGTTTGTAGAATGTTTCTCAGGTACTAAAGCATATTGTACCTCACCCCTTCTCAGAAGTTCCCTGCCTCTCCCCTTCCTTTGCTCTGCTTACCGTATTATTCTCCAGGAGGCACGACGGGCAGCAGCAAAGGCGGAAAATGTGTTGAGAGTGGATGACAGGGTGTCTAAGGCAGTGTCTGCAGCCAATCGAGCCGCCGTGGCTGCTCGAGTAGCAGCTGTAAAGGCCAACCAGAGAGGGTCGAATCATTCATGATTGTATGCTGCGGAAATTTGTCGTCAGGGTTGGTCAAACCACTCATTCAATGTTTGGCGCTGGAATAGTTGAAAAGAAACTGTTTTATGGTGCACAGATTCATGTGTAATTATGGATGAAGAAATACTTCCATTTGCTTAGGCTATTTGAAAGACGTGGTGTACATGATTATGCTTTCTCAAGGTTCGTCTCGTAATGGGTGAACCGGGAATCACGCGAGTGTTGGAATGAAATCTTGGGCTGCCCGTCCCCATCCCCATCAGATTATCCTCAGGCCACAAAGGCAGGTGAACTGTACAGAACACGAGCAAGACTGCAACTGTTCACCACCACACAATCTCATAAATCGCCGTGGCAGGCGCTGTATCCACTGCAGAACCAAATCTTCATGCCACCACCACACACCACAGCACCGCTAGCCCAATCACTTCTCCGCAGCGTCACCACCATCACCATCTGGCCTGTATGTTGACTGAACTTCCTGGAACCGCGATGACTTGTGTTTCTGTGATGTTCTGCAGTAAGGACGTGGGCCCAATCTAGTTTGATCGCCTAGATCACACGCGATCAAGAACTTCCAGGAAGCCTGGAAGCCAATTTCAGGCACTCGGGGGCAATCAGCTGATCGCAATCAACTGATTGCTCCAATCAATCAGACCCAATTTTCAGCCCGATCAGAGCCGATTTTTCCTCGATCACAGGCGATCACCTGATTGCTTGTGATCCAGGCTCCCAGCGATGCTTGCGACTAGTTACACTGTTGCTCTTACAGGGAAACTAAGATTTTCGTCAGGTGACGTCTGGTCGCCAATCTCGCTACGAAAATGCTAGGTAGATGTGTCGCGCTTAATGAGCAGGCGCTGAAAACATTCTTAAAAAAATATCACTGATCGGGCGGCTCAGGCACTGCAATCACAAGCAACCCGATCAGATCCAACCCGATCAAATCAGTCGCAAGACGTGGGCCCAATCGACTTTGATCGGATCGGATCGGGTTGGGTTGGATCGGATTGATTGTGATCGCTTTGCTCGCGCCGCCCGATCAACGCAGGATTTCCTCGGAAATTCTACGATCTTGCATGACAAGCGTGACCCCATTGGCTGGTAGTTTCATACCACCTTTGGCGAGACCGGCGAGCCCAATGTATCATGGTAATGTCGCAAACATCGCAATGCACACTAGAAGTGCTCTAGAATTAGCTCGAATGAAGTTTGATCGGGTGGCAAAATGATCGCTATAACATACAGTTCCCGCTAGTCTGTATGTATGAGCGAGAGATTTTAGATTTCTCAAGGTAAATGTGTAACTTTTTCGCCTGCGTCGCCCATGTTCCCAATCACGAGCAATCAAGTGATCGCCTTTGATTGTGTATGATCATGTTTGATCGGGCTGTTTCAGGCGGTTGATCGAGCTGGAGCGATCAGGTGATTGCGACCCTAAATGCCCGCGATTGCCTGAAATCGGCTTCCCGGCTTCCTGGAAATTATTGATTACCTTTGATCGAGCTGTTCAAAGTCGATTGGGCTCCCGTCCTAAGGACGTGGTGCAGATCAGGAAACAAGCAAAGTTTTGGATCGCCCACTTACACAGTAGCCCCTTCTGACGTTCCCGATTCTTCCATGGTCTTCGTCCAAGTTCTAATATCGCGATATATAATGATTCTGCGAGCAGTGCTGAATTTCGACAGAGTAAGTTACTGTTCGCAACTGTCGCTAGGCCCCGCGATCTCAAACAATCTATCGATTGCGATCGATTGCGTGAGATTGGGGCGATCGATCGGGTTTTTGATCGCAATCGAGAGAATGCCCTCGATTGCATGCAATTGCCTCAAAATACCCCTGCGGCTTCTCAGAAATGGTGGATTGCCCCGATCTGAGGCAATAATCGGGCCGATTTGCACCACGTCCTAGCTCACTTCCCTAGCCCAGACTTGGAGCCTGCTGTCGTTTCTCCTCTCCCGCCGAACCTGCTGCCTGCCACGCCGCTGCTCCAGCCGACCAATCGTGCCACAATCTTTGGTGGTCGCTACTGCCGCAGTGTTCATGACTGTAGGGAGGCTTTTGGTCGCTGAAGTTGACCTTTTCGACACATGTAGGGTTCGTGTACTTGACTGTCTATTACAGTACACCTGAATATTCTGTAACGACATTGGTTATGTCTGCGTGTACAGTATGGCCGTTATCAGCGTTGGACAATATAAAAAAAATCCACACACCTGAGCGTTTGGCAAAAAATACCATAGATTTGAAACACCCCAGCCTTTTTTTGGGGGGGGGGGGGTTTGACAAGTTTGCGAGCTAAGCCCGATCTCTCCTCTCCGCCCCTCTTCTCCCCTCACCTCACCACACTGCCGTGGCGTGGCGTGGCGTAGCCTTGTGGTAGGCACTCCATTCGTCGCCGCCTGACATCAGCCCCTCACTTTCTCCTCACATTCCCATTTGTTCTCCCGTTTCTCAACTCGCCTTACAGAACTCACTCCAAACACAGAAGCGAAACGAATGAGCTTGCCTTTCTAGCTGGCAAGCTACGTAAACTGTAACCTGTACGGAGCTGAACGACCTTGTTTTTTTCCCGTTCCTCATGACCCAATTCCTTCGCTTTCGTTTCTATTTGTCTGAAGTGCTCAAAACCCTGTGTACAAAGACGTGTATGTGATTTCCATGATATTGTAGAAACTACTGGTATTCACATCACCTGATCACCAGCAGGCGGCTTTTCCAGCCTGGAGCATCTTGTTCGAGTCGTCCGATGTAGGTAGCGCTGCAAATTTCAATCTCGCTCACGAATAGAATTGCAAGGTCTTTTGATTCGCAGCATCTCTCCTGAATTGAGCGTTTACACCGCTGGGATCACATATCGTGGACCATTTATCGAGGGCGTAGACACCGTCTTCCTGTTGATGGCACTGTTTTCCGCCTGCGGCGGCTCGGCGCTTCCTTTCTTCCTAGGGCTGGGCTGTGCCACGTGTTCCTGCTCCTTCTGCACGGGTCTCGTGCTCGTCACGTGCGGCGACAGCCTCTCCTCGCCGCTCAGCGCCGCCCCCGCCGGAGCAGCGCGTGATAGAAAATCGTACGCGACGCGCAATTCCCTTAACGGATCTTATATCGGAAGCAGCGCCGCATTCGACGGGGGCTCGTCGTTTGGAGGGAGCGATCTTGTTTTCTCAGCAGAACAGGTCAGCCGTCGTGATAATGTTCCAGATTCCAGAATTACGCATGTTGCTGCAGGTCTGGAAGCCCGCAGGTCTGGAAGCCAGTGGGCGGTCCGTTGTTTCTGGCGTGCTGGAAACTATCAAACAGGTTCGCGATCTCGCCGAAGAAAATCAAGTATTCGTGAGTTTTCGTCATGGAATTCAGCTCGTTAGCCTGACGAGGATACACGTGGCTGTTTTCTGCCATTTATCAGAACGCCTTGTGTTAACTGCACGTCGAGTTTCTTGTGCCATTGTCGCATGCCGCAACTTTTGAAACTTCTGAATATTTGATTTTGAATTGACGAATCCGATCTAAACGATCGCTAGCCGCGGGCTTGAATTGTTGCGTCCCTTTCCCATCTCGACCCCCTACCCTCTGTACTCGCTTTCCTCACCCTCCCCTTCTCCTTCCCCTTTTTCCTTCCTTCGGCCCTCCCCTTCGCACCTCTCCCTCCACCCCTCTACGCACTGTCCGCTTGCCACAGCCGTGGACAGCGGATCAATACGCGGCGTATCTCGCGCGCGCTGCCCCGTCAACAAGTCGAATGTCGCGGTTAGCAAGCGATCAACATCATTCCCATTCATTACGGTCACCAGGCGCTCTCTCCCATTCGCTGCTGTCGCCGGCCTCCCGTGCGTCGCCTCTACACTCTCCCTCGCTCCAAGCGTCGCTGCTGTCGTCGCGGCAATTCCGGTCCTTGTCGAGTTCATGAGCGTGGGGGAGCTACGACGAGGCCAACACACTGACTAGACACACGAGACAGGTACTTGGTCGCAACAGATTTCACTGCTACTAACGACCAGGATTTGATGCTTGTGAAACTGACAGTGTCTCTGAACCCGTTCGCTCTCTTCCCATCCACGCTACCCTATAAGACAGCCCTCCCCACCTCTCCCCCACTCCCTGTCCTGCCTCTCCCAACCTCGTGCACACATTGCTCCAAGCCCCCTTGTCAGCGGCTCGGCTTTTTTTTTTATTTCTTACGTAAGTTGCTAGACTTACAATGACTTCTGAGCCAGCTATGTCCAATTGTCGCTCCTATGCTCCCAGTGACTACTGGTTTCTAATCATGCGCCTTTCTTCTGTCTCTACGTTGCTTGCAGGTTACCCCCTTGTCAATCTTGCACACTTGTTGATTGTAAGTTAAACAGCGTAGTCAGATATTTATCAATACGGCTGTATGCTATGGGCATCTTTGTAATCTATACACCAATAATGTCTTAATGAAACAAGGAACATGTACGTGGAAATGAGTCGGTTCCCTATCCCACCGATTTCTGGAAGACTAACATTCAGAATGAATGTGGTTAGTTACTGTACCCGTGGATTATATATCTGCCAGATGTAGAGACCGTTCACCCCGTTACAATGCTTCAATCAACACAGCCCCTTCGCGGTCCTTCTGTGCAAATCAGAGAGCTTCGGGGCCAACGATATGGGGAGCACACATGACGTTACCGTCCATTTGTCGGAGATTAAGGTTTCGTTGCCTCGGAATCTGACCGAGGCTCCGCCCAAGCGATTATCTGGAGCCCCCAAACCGAGGCCTGGAGCCAGAGAGGTTGCTTGCTGCGATTCCCTTGGGAACTCCCCGAACCTCGGGAATCCCCAAGTTTGGTCATTCAGGTATTGCAGTCAGCAATTTCATCCTAGAACTCCTCCCCACCAGGTAAATAGGCCCATACACCCTGTGGTGTGGACATTCCCTTAGTTCCTGCAGCTTCTGCATCTCGCACTCTTGGCAACCTGAAAGCGTGAATGTCAACACCTCCGTCTCCGTGGAAGAAATACATAAATATTTATTACTACGCGCTTTCCCGTATTGTCTCTCTCTGGCAGAGAGCTTCTTTTTGCTCGTTCGCCTGCGATGTCGCAGGAGCTCGCGAAACCCGTTAGCCTTCTGCGAGGTAGTCCGTCCATCTCGCTGCTCACCGTTCCCACCTCGCTCCTCCGCAATGGCAATGTCGCGCGAGTCCCAACCCGAGCGCCGCGATCCGTCAGCTCAGTGCGGTCCAGGAGTAGGAACATGAGCGCAAGAGCCCTTCAGGGAAATAGCGCAAGAGCCTTTCAAGGAAATACGCATGGGGTTACTTGGGTGACTCCGTCGCTTCTTGCTGCTTCCGGCCCGTCCTCGTCCTCCTCTGCTCCCCGTCCTTCTCGCCGGCCAACCACAGCCGTCCGTGCGGGCAGTGGGATCAGCCACGTGGACGGTCTGGATCCGGAAGAGTTCAAGAACGCGCGGATCACGGTGACGGACGACGGTATTATTTTTTCCGTGGTGGACGACGGTGAATCGGATAGGGAAAACGAGGTTCCGGAGGAGGTATGGGAGAGGGAGGAGGGGACAGAGGGGGAGGAGAGGTCGGCTGTGGGTGGTGTGGAAGAGGAGGGAAGAGATGGTGCTGTGAGTGGGGAAGACGAGACGGAGGAGGAGGAGGATGAAGGGGGAGAGGCAGCGGCGGGGGTGATGGAAGAGGCGCAGAGGGTGATGGAAGAAGCGGCGAAGCTTCTCAGCGTGGCGGAACGACCCGTGGTGGTTGATGTTGCCGTGAGTGACAGTGAGGAGGAGGACGAGGGGGAAGCGGAAGAGGATAACGAGGGGGAGGAGGAAGACGAGGAGCAAGAGGAGGACGAAGCGGAAGAGGCGGAGGAGGCAGAAGAGGAAACACTGGCGATGGGAGCAGAGGAGCAGGTGGGTGGGCGAGACGGCAAGAGGGAGGAAGAGGCGTTAGAGGCGTTAGAGGAGGAGGAGCCCCTCGTTTATGACCCACCACCGCAGGCGGACTCGAATGTGGATCTGGAGGCGACCCTTGGCGCCACTGCTGCTGGTAGCAGTGCCGTTGCTGACAGCAGCTACGGTGCCGAGGGTGGGCAGGACGGCAGGGGGGATGTAGAGGCGTTGGAGGAGGCGCCTATTTATGACCCGCCAGCGTCAGTGGATTTGGGTGTGGGTCTGGAGAGGACGCTTGGCGATGCTGATGCTGCTGGTGCCAGCCTCGTTGCGGACAGCAGTTATGGTGCTGGGGATGGCTTTGGTGCTGATGTGAGCTCCGTTGGTGATGTGAGCTACAGTGCTGATGTCAGCGATGGTGCTGGGGATGGCTTTGGTGCTGATGTCAGCTCCGTTGGTGATGTCAGCTACAATACAGGTGTCAGTTATGGTGCTGATGCGAGCTACAGTACCGATGTCAGCTACAGTGCTGATGCGAGCTATAGCACAGGCAGCAGCTACAGTGCTGGCATCAACACCAGCCTTGGCAGCAGCACTTTCGGCAACAGCAGCACCCGTGGCAGCACACTTGGTGGCACGGAGGTGGATCTAGAGGAGGAGGAGAGGCGCGTGGCAGAGCGGCTCAAGGCCCTGGCAGGGTTGGCACTGGGGGGAGAAGAGGGAATAGCAGTGAGGGGAGAGGATTCAGGGTTGGGTGAAGTGAGGAGGGAGGAGGCCGTGGGACGGCAGGAGGCAGAGCAGGCTGCAAGGATGGAGGAGATGCGTCTGAGAGCAGAAAGTGCAGCGGCTGCTGCGGTTGCACAGCAGCAGAGAGAGGCAGTAGCTGCAGCTGAAGCAGAATCAGCATCAGCAGCGACAGCAGCAGAAGCAGAAGCAGCAGCAGAAGCAGCAGCAGAAGCAGAAGAAGAAGCAGCAGCAGCAGCAGAGAGGGAGAGGGAGTTAGAGGAGGCTGCTGCGAGGGAGATGCAGGAGAGGAGCAGGCAGGAGCAGCTGCAGAGGTTAGAGGCAGAGGCAGAGGCACAGGCAGAGGCGGAGGCGGAGGCAGCAGCAGCACAAGCAGTGGCAGCAGAGGCAGCAGCTGCAAACGCATTAGCTGGAGAAGCAGCAGCAGCAGCAAAAGCACTGGCAGCGGAAGCAGCAGCGGCAGCAGCAGCACAAAGGGAGAGGGAGTTTGAGGAGGCTGCTGCGAAGGAGAGAGAGGCTGCTGTGAGGGAGATGAGGGAAGAGAATAGGCAGGAGAAGCTACGGGCACTGCAGGCAGAGCACGAGTTTGTCACAGCTAAAATGTTCTTTTGCCCTGAGGCCGGGCAGGTCCGGGCAGGCGAAACTGTGGATATTTTTTTCCACCGCCCGGCAAGCGTGCTGAAAGAAAAGGCTGGGATTTTTGTCGTAGGTGCTTTTAACGAGTGGCAGTGGGAGCCGTTTAAGTATGAGCTGAAGCCCTCTAACGAGGTGGCAAATGACTGGTGGACGTGCAGCGTGACTATACCGAAGGAGGCGTATCAGATGAACTTCGTTTTCCACAGCAGTGATAACGTGTATGAGAACAACGAGGGGCGGGATTTCTACATCTCAATAGATGGGGGCATGGGAGAGGATGAATTTGAACGGTTCTTGAATGAGCAGAAGCAGAGGGAGGCGGAGGAGAGGGCAGCAGAGGAGGCGGAGAGAGAGAGGAAGGCAGAGGAGGAGAGGAGGGCCGCCCTGCTGCGAGCCCAGCAGGAGGAGGAACGGGCGACGGCCCGAGCCGTGGCTGATGAGGCTCGGCAGAGGCTTGGGCCGATATGGGAGAATGCAAGGGCGGGAGAGGAAGGGGTGTGGCGCCTGGAGGTGAAGGAAGGGGCGGAATGGGGAGGGAAAGTGGCAGGGGAAGGAGGGGGGGTTGAGAAGGGGGTGGTGGTGAGGGTGGAGTATAACCGGGCGGGTAGGCCCCTGGCAGGGGCGGGGGAGGTGTGGCTGCATGCGGGGGTGAATGGGTGGCAGGGTGGCGTGTCTGTTGTGGAGAAACTGGAGTGTGTTAATAACGAGGATGGCGACTGGTGGGCCGTGGAAGGTGCGTGGTTGATGGTGGTGGATGAAATGTTAGTGTAACTTTTTTATTATCAAAAAGGACATCAGGGTGCGGACAAAACCCTCTGGTTGCATGGAAGGCTGCCTGCCTGCTAGACTGACTTTTGAGGCGACTCAAAAGTCACTTCTGATTCTCAAAAAGGACATCAGGGTGCAGAAAAAACTCTCTGGTTGCATGGAAGGCTGCCTGCCTGTCAGCCTCATACACACTCACTTCCCTCAATTCAAACCTTCCCACTTTCACCATCCCGCTGATGCAGTCACTCTGCCCCAAGCCGCTGTGGCGCTCAACCGGTTGTTTGCAGGTGGGCTATTGTTGACACGCGGGGCAACAATAGCAGCAAGACATGGCCCCCTATTCACCCCTTCCATTTCCCCCATCCCTCTAATGCAGTCGCTCTACCACAGGACGCAGTGGCGCTCAACTGGGTGTTTGCGGATGGGCCAGTGGGGAAAGCAGGCGCGTGGGACAACAACAGCCGGCGGGACTTCGCGGGGCGGATTGGCGATGCGGAGCAGATTGAGGCCCTGTTTGAGGGCATGGCGGCGGAGTGTCTGCAACGACTGGAGAAAGAGAGGGAGGAGCGGGATGCGAAAGAGGCTGAGGAGGTGAGTGGAGAAGGGACCCGGGGGGGGGGGGGGGGGGGGGGGGGGGGGGAGGGGCAGAGCGGAGAAAAGTGAGGCTCTGATGGAGAAAAGTGAGGCTCTGATGGAGAAAAGGGGGAAGAGTGTCATTATTTGGAGGAAGATTTTGGGACTAGCTCTGATGCGACTGCAGCAGGATTGGGACGCGAGGGAGTCTGATAAAGAAGGGAAGGGTAATTCGTCATGGCCAGGAGGATGTGTAGATATGGTGGGAGCCAGGCACGCGCGGTGTTCACTGGATCAACACTCTGCCTGCTCCTTCCCGTCCCGTGCCCTCCTCACGTGTCACAAACCTCTCTGTCCGCCCATCCACAGCCAGCGCGGCGTGCAGAAGTGAAAGCAGCCATGTAGGCACGCACCAAGGCAGTGTTCCTGCAGTCGCAGGCACACGTGTTCTTCACTGAGCCTGCAATACCAACTCCTTTCTCCCTTCCGTTTCTCCCATCCCATCACTCACAACAGGCAGCGCGGCGTGCGGAAATCAAAGCAGCCATGAAGGCACGCACCAAAGCAGTGTTCCTGCAGTCCCAGGCACACGTGTTCTTCACTGAGCCTGCAGAACCACGAGCAGGAGAGGCAGTGCGCGTGTACTACAACCCTAGCGGCACGGCGCTGCAGGGCAGGGAGAAAGTGTGGATGCGCGGGTCGTTCAACCGCTGGACCCACCGCTCGGGGTGCTTCCTTCCCCTTCAGATGGAGCCCGCTGACAACGGCACTCACCTCGTGGCTGAAGGTGAGGGGGAGGAATCCGCTTTCCAGGCGCGTAAAGAAGATGTGAAAGCAAAATCAATGAAGTAGTGGAGCCACAGTGCTCTCAGGGTGCTTCGCTTTCAGGGGAAGCGCCCCTCCACATGCTGCCAGCTGTGGAGCATTGCCTGCAGGTTGACGTAGCGCCCCTCCACATTGCCTGCCAGCTGTGGAGCATTGCCAAGTGCACTCACCTCATGGCTGAAGGTGAGGCGGAGGAGAGGGGAAAGGACGTGATGTGTTGTTGCATTGCATGCAGGTTGACGTAGCGCCCATGTGTTGTGGCGCCCATGTGTTGTGGCGCCCATGTGTTGTGGCGCCCATGTGTTGTGGGGCCCAGGTGTTGTGGGGCCCAGGTGTTGTGGGGACCGGGCGTTGTGGGGCCCAGGTGTTGTGGGGCCCAGGTGTTGTGGGGACCGGGCGTTGTGGCGCCCAGGTGTTGTGGGGCCCAGGCGTCCCTAATCCGCCCTGGGCCATGTGGCACGTGATGCTTATGGGGAAACCAGCGACCACCCCCCTTGCTCTCTGTGTGCAGGCGCACGGGGCGCACTTGGTGCACCATGGTGCATGATGGTGCCTCGTGAGCCTCGTGAGCCCTGGGCGCACATGGTGCACAGAGGGCTCACGAGGCTGACACGGCTGACAGGGCTGACAGGGCTGACAGGGCTGACTCGGATCACTGACGAGCCGTCTTCACTTTTTGATTGCCTGCGTGTATTCACATCCAATCACCCAGAGCACGAAGACATAATGGGCATAATGGACATGATAGATGGGTGGTGGTGGGGAAGCAGCAACGCCTCTTGCTGTCACCCACTCCCCCTGCTTGCGCTGTGCTCTGTGCCTGTGCCCTGTGCTGCCGACTGCCTGTGTCCATTCATTTCAACCGCCAGTCCTCGTGCCTCACGACGTGTACAGCATGGACCTTGTTTTCATGAGCAGCAAAGCGACCCCACTGACCTCTCACTATCCTCCCTGCTCTGACTGATGTGCCCATTCCCCCTACCCAGTCCCCGTGCCCCACGACGCCTCCATAATGGACCTTGTGTTCATGGACAGCAGCGACTCCTCTTACCTCTCACTATCAGCCATTCGTCATGCGTATTGTGTCCTGTGCCCCCTCTTCCCCTCCCCAGTCCCCGTGCCTCACGACGCCTACATCATGGACCTGGTCTTCATGGACAGCAGCGATCCCACCACGGCCACGCACCTGTGTGTCTGTTGATTCACTGTGTCCTACTGTGTGCCTGTTTCTATCCATCTCCCAGTCCCCGTGCCTCACGACGCGTACATAATGGACCTTGTCTTCATGGACAGCAGCGACCCCACCACGGCAACGTATGACAACCGGGGAGGCCTGGACTACCACGTGCCCGTGGCGGGCAGCACTGCCAGGGAGCCGCCTCTCTACATCGTGCATGTTGCTCTCGAGATGGCACCTGTTGCCAAGGTGAGGGAGAAGAGGGGTGGGGCTGGGTGGAGGGAGAGGGGACTGGACTACCACGTGCCTGTGGCTGGCAGCACTGCCAGAGAGCCGCCTCTCTACATTGTCCACGTGGCTCTGGAAATGGCACCTGTTGCCAAGGTGAGGAGGAGAGGGTTGGAGGGGGGCGGAGGGGGGTGGAGAGGGGTGGAGGGGTGGCTGGGGGGGTGGGGTGGAAGAAGAAGCGGGGGTGTGGGGGGGGGATTACTACCACATGGACAGCAGCGATCCATCTACAGCAATGTATGACAACCGGGAGGGCTGGACTACCACGTGCCCGTGGCGGGCAGCACCGCCAGGGAGCCGCCTCTCTACATCGTGCATGTGGCTCTTAAGATGGCACCCTTTGCCAAGGTGAGGAGGAGGGGGAGAGGAAGTAGACCTTGGTAGGGACAGATGGGTGAGGGAGCTTTTGAGGAGGTGTTGTGAAAATGGTTAGGAGCGCATGGTCAGGCACCCATATGCCCTCATGCCCCCATGCCATTGCTTCTCCATGCCATCCCTCCGTGTCACCAGGTGGGGGGTCTGGGCGAAGTGGTGACATCACTGTCGCGAGCCACAAGGCACTTTTAATTTCACTGACACGCAAATTAATAAAAAACTGTCACTTGTGTGTTGACTGGCACTTTTTTGTTGTCTCTGTCTGTCCTCCATGCCATCCCTCCGTGTCACCAGGTGGGGGGTCTGGGCGACGTGGTGAAGTCGCTGTCGCGAGCCACAAGGCACTTTTAAGTTGACTGACACACTAACCAATCTACCCCTCTGTCTGTCCTCCGTGCCATCCCCTCTTTCTGTACCAGGTGGGGGGTCTGGGTGATGTAGTGACGTCACTGTCGCGAGCCACAATTGAGCTGGGCCACAGAGTGGAAGTGGTGCTGCCGAAATACGACTGCCTCAAGTATGACCAGGTGCGTTGACGGTCTGGGATGCTGGGGCTCGTGAGCTTGAACTACAAGTATGCTTCGAGGTGCATGATTGAGTGACCTCTGAGGGAGCTGGGCCACAGAGTAGAAGTGGTGCTGCCCAAATACGACTGCCTTAAGTACGACCAGGTGCGTTGAGGATCTGGGGAGTTGGTGCATGCAGGGGCTTGGTGAGATTGAATACGGTACAATTAGGGTTTGATTTGATGTGCTGGGCCGGGTGTGGTCTGAGGGTGGAGGTGGTGCTGCGGAAGGAAAAACTTTTGAGTCGACTCAAAAGTCACTGCGGAAGGAAAAACTTTTGAGTCGACTCAAAAGTCACTGCGGAAGGAAACCTCTGAGTTCGACTTCCTCAAGTATGTTCATGTGAGTCGGGGGGTCGAGAGCTCTTGGGCTTAGTGAGATGAGATCAATCAATGTATGTTTAGGGATTGAGAGGTTCTGAGCACCCCAATGTCTCAGGAAGCTGAGGTTGAGTATGAGCTGAGGGAAGTGGGCCATACAAAGGGTAGAGGTCGTGCTGCCCCAATACGATTGTCTCTCTCTCTCTCTCAAGTAGGACCTGCGCAAATACAACTGCCTGCCTCAAGTGAAACCCGGTGTGCACGCTGTTACGTTTCAGTCGACCAATAAAGGCTGCCCCAAATACGACTGCCTTGAGTACCACTGGTCCCAGTACAACTGCCTGACTCAAGTACCACCCGCTGCAAGGGCGCACGCCTGTGACTGTCCATGCCATATGCCCGCAGGTGCAAGGGCTGCAGACGAGGGGTGCCTAGCAGCGGTCACGTAAAGATGTCTCGGAATCCCGTTCAATTCACACACCCACGCTGTCCTGTGCTTTGTCGCACCCGCAGGTGCAAGGGCTGGAGGCGAGGGGCGATTTCCTGTGGGGCGGCACGCGGTGGCTGGTGTGGCATGGCCGAGTGGAGGGCATCCCCGTGCACTTCCTCGAACCTGAGAGCGGGTGAGTGCGTGTGTAGCTCCCCTTAGTGTGTTTCCGAAGCTTGCTCTGGTCATCTGGGCTGGGACCCGCGCTCTCTCTCTCTCAGTGGCTTGTGTGGCACGGCCGAGTGGACGGGATTCCCGTGCATTTGTTAGAGCTGGAGAGTGGGTGAGTCAGTCATCCCTTTGATATGCTCTGCTCTGCAGTTTGAAAGGAAAGGGGTTGAGCCATTAACTTCACTCGTTGCATCATGGTTTGGTCATACGAGGGATGCACACTTTCTCTCCTTGTCAGATATCTCGTGCTAAGCTCAATCTCCACTCTTTTTTCCCTTTTTCTTTTGTTTCCTGCGCATCCCTCCCACCCGTTCTTCACGCGTCCCTCCCACCCAGGTTGTTCTGGGTGGGGTGCATCTACGGCCGCAAGGACGATGCTGCCCGCTTCGGCACCTTCTGCCACGCGGCCCTTGAGTTCCTGCTGCAGACAGGCCGCTCCCCGGTACGCCACACATTTCATTGCATGGCACACAGGCCGCTCCCCGGTATGCCACACATTTCATTGCATGGCACACAGGCCGCTCCCCGGTACGCCACACATTTCATTGCATGGCACACAGGCCGCTCCCCGGTACGCCACACATTTCATTGCATGGCACACAGGCCGCTCCGCGGTACGCCACACATTTCATTGCATGGCACACAGGCCGCTCCCCGGTACGCCACACATTTCATTGCATGGCACACAGGCCGCTCCGCGGTACGCCACACATTTCATTGCATGGCACACAGGCCGCTCCCCGGTACGCCACACATTTCATTGCATGGCACACAGGCCGCTCCCCGGTACGCCACACATTTCATTGCATGGCACACAGGCCGCTCCCCGGGATCTGCTGCATTGTCACGAGGTGACTTTTGAGTCGACTCAAAAGTCACTCAAGATTTGACTCAAAAGTCACTCCAGAGTCGACTCAAAAGTCACTCCAGAGTCGACTCAAAAGTCACTCAAGAGTCGACTCAAAAGTCATCTGCTGCATTGTCACGACTGGATTCAACGAACTGGTCCTCAGCGCCAGTGGCATGGCAGCAGAGGGAGCAGTACAGCGGGTATGGGGGGAGAGAGAGGAGGGAAGAGAGAAACGCAGCCCAGCGTCATGCGTTGAGACGTCAAAGCTCCCTCTGTCTCTTCCCCCCTCCCCCTCCTCCTCCTCATCTCCCCCCTTTCCCCCCTCTTCTAGGATCTGCTGCATTGCCACGACTGGTCGTCAGCGCCAGGGGCATGGCTACAACACGAGCAGTACAGCGGGTACGGAGGGGAGCAGGGGGTGCATGAACCTCAGAGTTCTCTCACCCTCTCTCCCTGCCCCTCTCCATCTCCCCCCTCTTCCCTCCCCCCCACTCAGGACCTCCTGCATTGCCACGACTGGTCGTCAGCGCCAGTGGCGTGGCTGCAGAGGGAGCAGTACAGCGGGTACGGAGGGGGCAACGCACGCACAGTGTTCACCATCCACAACCTCGAGTTCGGGCAGGACATGATTGGCCGCGCCATGGCAGCCTGCGACATGGCCACCACTGTGAGTGCTCACTACTATGTGTGTGTGTGTGGACCGCTGGGCGGGCATGTAAGGAATGTGACTGCATTGAGTGGGCCAACGCGCGCACGGTGTTCACCATCCACAACCTCGAGTTCGGGCAGGACATGATTGGCCGTGCCATGGCTGCCTGCGACATGGCCACCACCGTGAGTGCTGTGTGGCTGTGCTGTGTGTGTGTGTGGCGCAGGAGGGAATGTAACTCTAGAGATGAGCGATGCAGGAGACAGGAGTGCTATGGCACGATTGGCATAGTGCTCGGGGGCAGGGCATGATTGGCCGGGCCATGGCTGCAGCCATGGCTGCATGCGATTGGTCACCCACATGTGCAGGAGAGTTCAGTGGACATCCAGCAGCGCAGCGCACACGGCAAAGCATCTTCTCATTTACATCAACCCCTCTCTTCATCAGTTCCCCAGGCACCCCTCCCTCTGCCTCAGGTGTCCCCCACATACGCGGCGGAGGTCAGTGGGCATGCAGCAGTGGCGGCACACAGGGCCAAGTTCCACGGCATTCTCAATGGCATCGACCCCGACCTCTGGGACCCCATGGGGGACCCTTTCCTTCCGGTGAGTGCTGCTGCTGTGCCAGTTAATGCGATGTCACCTGGTGATGGTGTTTACGTCATGCCGCTTGCATACTCTTTTTTAGAATTCTCAGAAATAGCTTTATCCTTTCCCCTCGGTGAGTGCTGCTGCCGTTTCCACAATAGCGAATAAACCATGCCGTTCACTTCATTCATGCTGATAATGCTTTTTCTCGTGCCACCATTGACGATGTTTCGTTTCTTTCACCTCCCTGTCCCCATCCCCTCCCCATGCTCTACCCATCTCCAGATGAAATATTCAGCTGCAGAGGTCGTGGAGGGGAAGCAGACAGCCAAGGCAGAACTGCGTGCCTGCCTCAACCTGCGCTCCATCCCCCCCTCCGAGAATCGGCCCCTGGTGGGAATAGTCTTATGGTTGACTGCACAGAAGGGCATCGCACTCATCAAGCATGGGCTGTGTCTCTTCCCACCCTGTCCCCGTCCCTCCTGCTCCTTGTTTCCTGCCTTTCCTCTCTTCACCCCATCCTCAGATAAAATACTCAGCTGCAGAGGTCGTGGAGGGCAAGCAGGCAGCCAAGGCAGAGCTGCGCGCGCGCCTCAACCTGCGCTCCTTCCCCCCCTCGGAAGACCGGCCCCTGGTGGGCATAGTCACGCGCCTCACAGCACAGAAGGGCATCGCGCTCATCAAGCACGCGCCCTTTCCCTTCCCCAACCCCTCCCTCCTGCTCCTTGTTTCCCGTCGTTCCCTTCCCCACCCCCTCCTCGTGTTCACCCCATCCCCAGATGAAATACTCCTCTGCCGAAGTCGTGGAGGGGAAGCAGGCAGCCAAGGCAGAGCTGCGCGCGCGCCTCAACCTCCGCTCCTTCACCCCTTCAGAAGACCGTCCCTTAGTGGGCATAGTCACGCGCCTGACAGCACAGAAGGGCATAGCGCTGATCAAGCACGCGCTGTGGCGCACGCTGGACAGAGGGGGACAGGTGGTGCTGCTGGGGTCGGCCCCTGATGGGCGCGTGCAGGGCGAGTTTGAGGCGCTGGCGAGGGACCTAGGGCGCTCGCATGGAGACATGGCCCGGCTCTGGCTGACCTACGATGAGCCCTTGTCGCACCTGGTGAGTGTACTTGTTTTGTGTGCGTGGGTTGTGAGGCTGTGCGTACACTCATCAAGCATGCCTGTGGTGCACTATGTTGGAGAGAGGGGCAGGCAGGTGGTGCTGCTGCTGGGGCCCGCCCCTGAGGAGCTGCGCTGGCACAGAACTTCGGGCGTTCGCATGGAGACATGGCCCGCCTGTGGCTCACCTACGATGAGCCGCTCTCGCACCTGGTGAGTGCATGGGTTGAGTGCATGGGTTGAGTGCATGGTGTGTGATTCTGGTGAGTGCAGTGCTCTGTACGTACCTGCCTCTGGTGGTTCTGCTGGGGTCGGCCCCGATGGGCGCGTGCAGGGCGAATCTGAAGCTCTTGCGAGGGACCTGGGGCGGTCACATGGAGACATGGCACGGCTCTGGCTGTCTTATGATGGTCCCATGTCGCACTTGGTTAGTGGATGTGGTGAGTGCGTGTGGTGAGTGCGCGTGGTGAGTGCGTGTGGTGAGTGCGTGTGGTTTCTGGCTGTGTATGTGACCATGCCGACACTGTGTCCACCCTCCATCTCCCCTTCCCCACTCCCTAACCTTCGCTTCCGCCACTTCCCTTCCGCTCTCTCCCTTGCCCCACAGATCTATACAGAAAGTGACATGATTTCCTTCCCCATCCCTTGACATGATTTCCTTCCCCATCCATTGACATGATTTCCTTCCCCATCCCTGTTCCGTCCCCCCCTCCGAGTTGCAAGGTGTTTTTGAGACTTCTCAAAAGCACCCCCTTCCTTCACCCCCCTTCTCTCCCTTCCCCCACAGATCTACGCTGCGAGTGACATGATTCTCCTCCCCTCCATCTATCACCTGACTTTTGAGGCGCCTCTAAAGCCCAAACTTCGCTTCCCCTCCTCCTTCCCCCTCTCCCTCTCCACCTCTTGCCCTTCCTCCACAGATCTATGCAGCCAGTGAGGATCTTGATGAAGCTTAAAGAGTCTTCTGCTCCTTCTCCCCCTTCACTGCCTATCCCTTTCCCCACAGATCTACGCAGCCAGTGACATGATTCTCGTCCCCTCCATATTTGAGCCGTGCGGGCTCACCCAGCTGGTTGCGATGCGGTACGGAGCGGTGCCAGTGGTGCGCAAGACAGGCGGGCTGAGGGACACAGTGATGGACGTGGACAGTGAGGAGGACAGGCAGAGAGCGGCAGAGAGAGGCATGGAGGCCAACGGATTCTCCTTTGAAGGGGCCGATGCTGCTGGCGTTGACTATGCCCTCAACAGGTGGGCTGCTAGTGGGTGGGAGTCTTGTGTTTGTGTTCTGGTGGGTGTGATTCTTGTGACTGTGGGTTCAGTGGGTGTACGTCCAGTGGGTATGCTTCTCAACAGGTGTCTATGATGCTAGTGGGCGAAACTATAGTGTGTGTGATGCTAGTGGGCGAGACTCTAGTGTGTGTGATGCTAGTGGGCGGGACTTTAGTGTGTGTGATGCTAGTGGGCGGGACTCTAGTGTGTGTGATGCTAGTGGGCGGGACTCTAGTGTGTGTGATGCGAGTGGGCGGGACTCTAGTGTCTGTGATGCTAGTGGGCCGGACTCTAGTGTCTGTGATGCTAGTGGACCGGACTCTAGTGTGTGAGATGCTAGTGGGCGGGACCTCTAGTGTGTGTGATGCTAGTGGGCGCGACTCTAGTGTGTGTGATATTTCTACGAGGAGCTCCAGTGGGCTGTGAAGTTACTGGGTATGATTCTTTTGGGCATGCTTTTAGCGGTTGTGGTTCCAGTGGCGTTATGCTTCCAGTGGCGTTATGCTTCCAGTGGCGTTATGCTTCCAGTGGCGTTATGCTTCCAGTGGCGTTATGCTTCCAGTGGCGTTATGCTTCCAGTGGACTCTGGGCATTCCATTGCATGCCTTTCCATTGTCTGAAGTGGTGCCTTATTGTATCTACGTGCATTGCAAGTACTCACCTTGTTCCCCCCTGTTTTTACTCCAGGCTCAGCAGGGCAATCTCTGAGTGGTAGGGCCTGGCATGAGGGGTGATGAAGCAGGACTGGACTGCCAATCTGATAAAGCGTGTGATCTCTGACTGGACTTCCCTCCACGGTCCACCCAATGTGCCTCATCGCACCTCATTGGCGATTTTCACACCGCCTTCACCCCATCCCCTCCTCCCCTCTCCCCCCTCCTCTCTCCCTTTCTCCATGCCCATCAGGGCGATCTCGGGGTGGTACGATGGGAGGGAGTGGTGGCAGGGCCTGGCTAGGCGAGTCATGGAGCAGGACTGGACGTGGAACCGCCCCGCTCTTGACTACCTTGAGCTCTACTATGGCGCTCGGAAATAGGCAGTGTCAAGGCGGGGAGACATGCCCCAGTTCTGCTCGAATTGCACCAGGCGGGGCGAGACGAAGCTGGAGGTGGATCCGCCCCGCTCTTAACTACCTCCAGCTTTACTATGGCTCGGAAATAGGCAGTGTCAAGTGGTTACTTTTGAGTCGACTCAAAAGCAGACTCGGAAATAGGCAGTGTCAAGTGGTTATCAATCACAATTCGAGGCAGTGTCAAGTGGTTATCAATCACAATTCGAGGCAGTGTCAAGTGGTTATCAATCACAATTCGAGGCAGTGTCAAGTGGTTATCAATCACAATTCGAGGCAGTGTCAAGTGGTTATCAATCACAATTCGAGGCAGTGTCAAGTGGTTATCAATCACAATTCGAGGCAGTGTCAAGTGGTTATCAATCACAAAAGCATGCCTCTGCCTCGAATTGTGCCGAGAGAATTTCTCCAGACCCGGAAACGGTGATTTGCCGTTGCACACGTAGCCTTGAATCGCTACCGTGGTCGGACAATTCGATGATAATTGCTCGAGTGGTCTTGCCAGAGGTTTCCTCTGGCATTTTTTTTTATCCGGCACATTACCCAAAACCGGTCTTTAGCCCTGAAATTCTTATGTCGAACTTGTCTCTTCCCGCGAAAGTGTGACGCACCCGGAAAGGCGTGCACGAGGGCGGCGCCGTCACTGTTCGGATACGCGACAAAATCGGCACGGTAATCTAGGCAAACAGTTGCGCTCAATTTCGGTCCATATCGTAACCAATCCGCGCATAGTTATATGATTCCCCGATCATATACTCAGTTGCACAGATGTCAGTACGCGCGACCAATTACAGAGTGCACTTGATTGGTCGACTTTATGCGTGGGGCCTTTTCTGACCTTGCGCGTCCAATCAGACGCGGTCATGTAAAATTGTGCTCATATAAAATCGCATATTTACCTATATGAGCGCGCATATGTGATGCTCGAATGTGTGTGTGATCTGATTTTTGTCGCGTATCCGAATAGTGACGTTGTCGCCCTCGTGCACGTCTTTCCGGGTACGCCACACTTTCGTGGGAAGAGACACGTTCGAAGTAAGAATTTCAGGGCTAAAAACCGGCTTTGGGTAATGTGCCGGATTAAAAAAATGCCAGAGGAAACCTCTAGCAAGACCACTCGAGCAATTATCATCGAATTGTCCGACCACGGTAGCAATTCGAGGCCACGTGTGCAACGTTAAATCACCGTTTCGGGGTCTGGAGAAATTCTCTCAATTGTGCCGGTGAGGCAAGTGATGGAGCAGGACTGGACTGGACGTGGAACCGCCCTGCTCTCGACTACCTTGAGCTTCACAATGGTGCTCGGAAATAAACAGACCTTGTTTATGTTATTGTGCTTGGATTGGAAATATGTAGCATGCATTTTTATTACGGTCCCTGTAGTTTTGCTAGGATAGGTTTGGTTTGGTGGCTGGCATGATGGTAGCATATGCAATAGAGCATCCTCTCTATATGGTAGTTATAGTCAGCTCTAGTACTAGAACGTTTGGTAGTTCTGTAAGGAGTCCTGCGCTTGGTGCAAGAAGCCTTGTTTCTGGTGCAAATTTTGTCCGTGGTGCATCTCATTTCATCTCACTATCCTACTGATGGGAAAACGCCTCACTAAAGGGAAGATGGTCCTTCGCGTTTCTAAAAAAACCACGTTGCGCCCACTTGACTGTACACACCAACAAGGAGCGCTACCATACCAACCCATTCAGAAAGCACATCAACTCCCCATAAATAACTACAATCTAATTTCATACACGCTCTCCCGATCCCCAACGTCCAACCCGCCGCACCAGCTTTGCCATCTGACTCATCCTAGTCATCATCATCACTACCCCCCCAGCAACTGCCAATGTCGTCATCATAGTCACTGTCCACGGCATACTCATGCTCAATATCATCATCTTCAGCCCCACTCTCCTCGTCCTCTGGTGCCTCCCCGCCCGCCTCTTCTCTTTCCCCAGCCACATCGCCTCCCTCCTCCCCCTCTTCCTCTTCCGCATCTCCACCCTCCTCTTCCTCCTCCCCCTCGCCCTCCTCTCCTTCATCCTCCTGTCTCTTGTCTCGGCGGGAGAGCAGAGGGCATTCGCTGATATTGCACTCACGCAATGTTGGCATTTTCCGGAGAGAGGTGGGCAGCCGAGTCAGCTTCTTGCATATGATCACCTCCAGCTTCTCAAGCTTAGGCAGCCGAGTGAACGAATCTGGCAAGCTTTGCAAGTGCTTCGGTCCCAGAATAACCAACTTCTGGAGCGAAGACAGCTTCCATATGTCATCCGGAATGCGTGGGATTCCAAGCATGATAAGAGAGCAGGATCGTAGCTTGGGTAGATTAACTAACGACTTTGGAAGCTGCATTAGCTTGTAACAATCGATAATCTCCAGCGTCTCGAGCATCTTCAGCTGCCCGAGAGACTCGGGCAGCTGCCGCATCGAGATGAGGCTAACCAGCTGCAAGGTACGCAGCCCTGCAAGCCCCCCAAGGGTCTCGGGCAGTGCTTTGAGATGGTAGGCCGCATCAATCTTGAGCCTTTGCAGCTGCGAGAGTTGGGAGATGGAGTCAGGGAGAAGTTCAAGTTTGTACATTTCCAGCAGCTTCAACTGCGTCAGAGAGAACAGACAGCCGAGGAATGGACCAAAAGAATCCCCTAGCACCCCACTTAGCGAACCACACCTCCGCACGTCCAACGCCAGCAGACAGGGCAGCTCAAAGAGCGCCGGAGGGAGACATATCAGGCCGCTCATCTTAAAGATCCTAACCTCCTTGAGCGCTGCCAGCCGTCCGATTCCCTCTGGCAGGACCGTTACTTTAGGGAATTTTCCCACTTCCAGCCTGGTGAGGGAATCAACGCCAGAGAATGAAGCAGGAAGGGAGGATAAGCGTAGCATAGAATCAAGCGACAGCTCCTTGAGGCTCTTCAAGCAGCCAAATCCGTCCAGCAGCGCGCCCCTGACGCGTTTCGCGTGTACAATCTTGAGCGTTTCAAGAGATGTCAGGCAGGAGAAGGATGGGGGGAGGTGGGTGAGAACCGTGCACTCCAATAGAAGCAGATGGCGCAAGGAACGGAGACCCTTCCCCATGTTGTCTGGCAGCACTGTGAGGCACGGACAATCGTTAATCTCCAGGTGCTCGAGAGAAGACAGCTGGGACACGGAGTCGGGAAGCTGCTGCAGCTGCCTACACTCCAACAATTTCAGCTCCCGAAGAGCTATTAACTGCCCGAATGTTTCAGGCAGGTGCGTGAGCTGTTGGAGGTCTTTCAGATACAGCTTCTCTAAAAGCACCAGCTGACCAAACTCCTGCGGCAGATGTCTCAGATTCAGAAGATGATCGAGGGAAATCTCTTGAAGAGTGGTAACCCGGGCGATGGAATCAGGTAAGGCTGTGAGACTTCGCAGATTTAGCACGAGTCTCCGAAGTGTAGACAACTGCCCGAAATCTTCAGGGAGCACTGAAATTTGTCCCATGTCAAGGGTAAGTTCAGAGAGTGCAGGCAGGCGGAGAGATACGGGAAGAGTCGTGATGTCCCTACAGTCCTTGATGAATAGAGTCTTCAGTCGCTGGAAATGCTCCAGATCCGCAATTAAAACCCGCGGGCCAAGAACTTCAACCATAGGAAGCTTGGTTGGAGTGAGCAACACAATTGGCTAAGGTTTTGGGTGCGAGTGCCAAACTCAACCAAGGTTAGGAAGGTTGAGGCAATTTGGGCCTTCTTGGCCCTCCGGTTTTAAGTCGCGCATTCCCCTCACTTGAACCATAATGAGGGTTTCAAGCGCCCCCACTCGACCGAAATCGGCCGGCGACGGAGGAAGAATGCTGCAATGTCGGAGCTCCAGGTCGGCGAGAGAAGAGAGCTCGGTGAAAGAGGTCGGCAGCTGCAGCGTAAAACAGCGACTCAAGGAAAAACGGTTGAGAGCGGTAAGTTGCCCGAAAGATTCCGGAAGTGACGCCAAGCGGCTATGGTGGAGCTCCAGCTACGTCAAAGAAATCAGATTGCCGAAATTCTGAGGCAGAGCTTCGAGCTGATAAGTGTTGAGCACGAGCCTTTTGAGAGATTGTAACGAGGTCAGTGTGTCGGGAAGACGCGTGACTCCACTTGCCACGAAGTGCAGGGACTTGAGGGAAGTAAGTCGGCCGATTGACGTGGGAATGGCAGCATTCTTCGAGCAGTACACATAGAGATCTTCCAGCCGCGTACACCTTTCGAACAGCGCAATGAGACTCTTCTCGGTTACATCTCTTTTATTGGTCCAAGGTGACATCGTTTCGACATGAAGCTGGGTCAAATGGTGCCACGTGCTAGCGAGGTGAGAGAATAAAAACTTGGAAATGGAGGTGAGGCTGCAAGAGGAAAGGATTAGCTTTTCGAGGTTAGGGAACGAGGATAGAAGTTGAACAAGCCGACGCGGATTCATACGGAGGCTATTGGGCAATCGGAGCTCGTATTGCACGCGGCACGCGATCCGATGCCATTGCTGGCTAACAAGTGCGTGCTCTGGCAAGCCATCAGGTCGAACCAGAAAACGCAGGATCCGAGAAAGAATCTCCTCAGGTAGCCGCTGGATCGGTGATCCGACTGGCATTGTGAAAGGCGGGGAAAATAAAGAATGACTAGCTGTTCAGCTTGTTGCTTCTGCTACTGAAGCAGGTATCGTCGATTAGCAAGGTCGTTGTGAGCCTGAAAGGGTCAGGGAAGGAGGACTGGTGAAATTTATTTCTGTGGATATGAAGAAGCACATACCGCTCAACCACGCCTGTTCCTCAACCAGTGCTGTTGCTAGGTCTATCTAGTCTGGTCTGATCTGAACTCAACAAGAAAAGTGACACCGCACTCAACCGCTCGTTCTTCTCGTATCATTCCCGCCAGATGCTCCCCTCCCATGTAACACCGTACACCCTGTTTCGCGCCACACTGACATTCGCCATATTGACAAGCCGGTTGTACTGACATCAATGCGTCCAAATTGGTCCCAGAACATAACGTATAAGCACTTTTGCCGCACGAAACCAAACTCAAAAGCACGTTTGATTTCATAAACCGTTGTCTACCGTTCTCCTTAAGTGTATTTCGGTTGCAAGCACCAGCCCGCTGAATCCAAGTACACGTGCGCACTGTAGCCGGGGCTCCCGATTGTTCAAACATCGAGAAATAGGGTGTACTTGCGAAATGGACGGCGACGCAAGCCACTACAGTATCTCGATTTGCGAGGCTCCCACGATGCCTTCGCGAGCCCCAAATGGGTGCCCCATAATGACACGACATGGGCTTGTGTGCTTCCCGCCATAAAAGTGATGGTAGTGTACCCGTTTGTGGATGCGATGTAATTAAAATTGTTTGAGCAGTGAGTTGTTTTTCGCAAATACGCAAGGAGTGTAACGAATGAAGGAGCCAAAATATATATTGCTTTTAAAGGCCCGAAAACACCAAGTAAAAGTTGCACCATGAAAATTAACAATGTTTGTGTATTTTGTGTACTAGGATTTTACTGTGTACTACACTATTGTTTAGCACAATCACTATAGATACAAACATACCGTTTGCAACTAGTGTAGCGAGGCATGTACAGCGTTCAGCACAACCACTTGAAGATACACTCTTTTATGGGATACGGTACACCAATACAGTTGTGTCTCACAAAAAGAATGCGTCCCACTTTCTATTTTTGTGCCTGCAAAGAATTTCCTGTCTGCTGACTAACTGAAGGTTCATATCTCATCCTCCATGCGAAGATATTCACCTGCAACAGATGGTGGGTATGGGGGAGAGGGGGGGGGGTGGAAGGGAACGGAAAGCATGCGGGAGCGCAAGGTGAGGCAAGGGGGGGTGGGCAAGGTAGGGAGGGGGGGGCAGAGTTCGCAGGGCTGCAGGATGCCATAGGCATGCAGCGACAGGATTGATGTGTTCCGCACAGCAGCGCAGCAGTGTGGTGCGGTGCGGTGTGGTATGGTGCGGTGCGGGGACTTCTCCCTTTTGCATCAACAAACACCTCAATGTGGTGCACTTGTGCAATCCCGATGAGCCCCATCTGCACCTGCCGGACCTCCACCAGGTGAACCTCCACCAGGTGAACCTCCACCAGGGGGACCTGTGTCGGCCTGGTGGAAGACAATGATAGTGTTGGGGCCCAGTCGCCAGCACTCCTTTGTGGACTTGGCTGCATTGTGGTTCAGTGCGGTGTGGTGCGGTGTGGTGAGGTGTGTCACGTGTGTCGGCCCCACCTGTGTCGGCCTGGTGGAACACAACAATGGCGTTAGGGTCGAGTTTCCGGCACTCCTGTGTCGACTTGGCCGCCACTCCAAAGCCCAGAGGCACATCTGACATTGACAGCACCACCACTCCCTGCCATGTGGTGTAAGGGAGGGGAGGGGATAAAAGAGGGGGAAGACGGAGAGGGATGAGAGGGAAAGGGGCCGGCGGTAGGAAGGAGAGGGGCAGTGGGTGGGATCAGGTCGCTGGCGGCGGCACTCCTGTATCGACTTGGCTGCCACGCAAAAGCCCAGAGCCACGTCTGACATCGACAGCACCACCATTCCCTGCCGTGCATGGGAGGGGAGGGGGGTGGGGGCAGGGCGAGAGAGGGGGAAGATGTGGGATGGCAGTTGGGGTTTGAGACGCTGCAGCACTTGGCTGCCACGTTAAAGCCCAGCGGCACATCTGACATCGACAGAACCACCACTCCCTGCCGTGTGGTGTGGGGGAGGGGAGGGGAAGGGGGAGGGCAGATGTAGGTTGAGGCGCTGCAGCATTGGGCTGCCACGCCAAAGCCCAGCGGCACATCTGACATCGACAGAACCACCACTCCCTGCCATGCGGGAATGGGAAGTGGTTGGTGGGAGGGAATGGGGCGATTTGGGAAGGAGGGGTGGGTGGGAGGCCTGGAAGAAGGAGCGGGCAGCGGGGCCCTGTTCAAGACACAACAAGACCCGTTCCCATCCCACACCCTACTCATGAGCCTCACTCTACCGCACTCCAGCCCTCCCACCTGGTTCTGCTGCGGGTCTCTATTATCCCCCAGCTTCCATTTCCCATCCTCAGCCTACTATGTTGGTTGGTGTTACTTTTGGGAATTATTTTGGGGATTCTCAAAAGTTAACACCAGCATGGCTCCCATCTCCCAGGCCCATCCTACCCCAGCTCCCAGCCCCGCCCTCTCCAATCTCCCAGACCTGCCCTACCCCACCCCATCTCCCAACCCCACTCTGCGCCATCTCAGCCAGCCCACCTGGTTCTGCTGCGTGGCCTCGGTGATTAGCCCCAGCCCGCTCTTATATACCCGCCTCAAGACACACCAGGTCACGTCCCCACACCGAAGTACTGAACCAAAAGCCCATCCTATCCCGGCCCTATGGAAATCACTTTTGAGAATTCTCACAATCACTATTGAGAATTCTCAAAAGTGATTTCCATATAGCCTCAAGACACACCAGGTCACGTCCCCACACCCAAGTACTGAACCAAAAGCCCATCCTATCCCGGCCGTACCGCACTCCATCCCAGCCCACCCACCTGGTTCTGCTGCGTGCTCTCGGTGATTCGCCCCAGCCCGCTCTTGAGCACGTGGTTGCCGTACAGGAATGACATCTCTGCTGCTGGCTTCACCCACACCTGGCAAGGAGGCGAGAAGGGAGAAGAGAAATCGCAGGGAGGGAAAGAGGGACAAATGGTGCTTGGTGATTGCCGTACAGGACAGGAATGACATCTCTGCTGCTGGCTTCACCCACACCTAGCAAGGGGAAGGAGGGGGGAGAAGAAGGTGTGGGGGGGGGGGGTGGTGGTGAGGGGTGGTTGACTGTAGGAAAGGGAGTGGCTTGGTGGTTGCCGTACAGAAATTACATTTCCGCTGCAGGCTTCACCTACACCTGCAGAAAGGGACGGGGTGGAGGAGAGGCAAAGATTGAAGGTACCAACCGACCCACACCTGCCGGGTGGAAAAGAGGCAAAGGGGCAAGGCCAAAGACGGACCTTGCACTTGGCGTAAGCTGCGAGCAGGTTGCGAGCAGAAACGGTGATATGGAGCGTGCCATACTTGGTGAAAGAAGCCACGCCACGCCAGGCCAGGCCAAGCCACGCCAGAACAACAGCCCACACGCGCACCTTGCACTTGGCGTAAGCTGTGAGCAGGTCGAGCGCAACCTTCACACACCAGGTCAAGCCATGCCAAGCCAGGCAAGACACAAACATTGCACTTGACGCACCTTGCACTTGGCGTAAGCTGCAAGCAGGTCGAGCGCAGTGACTGTGAGACGGAAGCTGCCCGACTTGGTGAACTTGCCAATGCACGTGCCCAGTGACGCTAGGTGGTCCCGGGACACACTTGTTGCTCTCCGCATGATGGCCTGATGAGGGGGGGGGGGGGGGGGGGGGGGTGTGACAGGTCGGGGCAGGGATGAGTGTGCTGCGAGCAAGGGTGGTGCTGCTGGTGAACTTGCCAATGCACGTGCCCAGTTATGCTGGATGGCCGCGCGATACACTCGTGGATCGCCGCATGATGGCCTAATGCGGACCCCGTGGGCAAAGATGTGCGGGGCAGATGAGATTTAGTGGGGAGATATTGTGACAGGGGGTCACGTGAAAGGTGACAAAGGATAGAGGCGCGAGGGGACACGCGAGCAATGACAGTCGGGACGAGCGGCCTCGGTGAGAGGAGCTTGAGGGAAAAATAGCGAGGTCACGAGGAGGGGTACATCCCTTGAATCGCTGCAAATCTCTCAAAACCCTTCTTATACCCTTGTAAAACCTCCGTTTAGCCCTCGCCCTCCGGCCTCTGCAATCCCCAGACAACCACCCTCAAATTTCTCTGGTAACCCGGGAAATCCTCGCTCTCCCCGTTACCCCATAACCCTGAACCCGTAAACCCTGACCTGCCCACCTCGCTGACATAGTACACGCGTTGCTTCTGTAGTCTCAAGCAGTAACCCCCAGTGGCGCCGCCCGGCCCTTCCGGCGCTTTACGTTCGATGAGGTGCTTGATGTTGCTGCCGATGAACTTGTGAAGTTTCTCAAACACCGCCTGCGTTTCCTTCTCGTCCAACGGCCGCATCGTCGCTCGTTACTGTAGCGAACGCCGCCTGTGTGACTGTAGCGGGTGTGCGCTTCTGTCTGGTCGTGGTTGACTGATTTGCGTCGCGGTACGCGTTATTTTGTGCGTGAGTAAGTAGCGAAGAATGCTGTCGAAACTAGCTGCGGGGCAACGGAATGGCGTAAAGCAACAAAAGAAAAGAGAGAGTTTTTGCTTTCACAAGAATGCCGCTAGGCAAACTCTGTCCTGAGACGTTTCGTTCTGTACAAGCATCGAAGGCCAGTTACTAGTGGGTTCCAGCAGACGTGGCTATGGGGCCGATGAAATCCGCTGAGGAACATGCCTTCTCTAAAAAGGTTCTGGAGAGAGTTGGAGCTACGGGAGGGTGTGATGGTGTGGTGGGGTGCTCCTGCAATTGTCTCCAATTGCGCATGAAATGATAAAGATTACCACGTGTATTTGTTTGAGTGAGGCTCAGAACAATTCTCGTAGCGACTCAACTGCAAACGCGTTACGATTCTTGCGGGGATGATGAATTTGACAAGAATTGGGTGGAATGAGATCGACGGCTGTAAAAGATGTAGGTAGGGCTTAGCCCAAGAATCGACGCTCCATCCCAATCCACCTCCGCCACGAAGTCTGGCGGTGGGAGGTGGTCTGGTCAGACGGCTGTGGCTGTGGGCGGTTGAACGGAACAACCGCTGAGGTTGACGTTCCGCCAAGGTTGATGGCACCCTGGTGGGGTTGACGTCCACCCAACGTTGCCACAATTTCTCCGGGCAGCTTGAAATATAAGAGCATGCTGCGCAGATCCACCAACAACAGCACATAATTTCACTGTACACCTCCACATCGTGTATGATATGCGCACGTGAAATTCACGCGAATCTGAGTGCTTCGTGCCCCTTGAGGAAAGAAAATGTCGGCGAGGAGGAAGCACGTCAAAGCAAGCCCAAGGTTGCTTTGCATGGGCCATTCCCTCTTTCACGTCACTTCTGCGTAGAATCTCCACCGAGCACAACGTCTGGGCTCCCTCCTGTGTTCGGCAGCGGAAGCAGCACAGCACACCAAACCAGTCTACGTCGCTGCGCGCCCCCTGAGTGCCTGCTACGCCACCCCTCCGCTCCTCCCCGCGCATCCCCCATCCCCCCCTTTCAGCCAGTGCCAGCGGGATTGGGTGATGGCGGAACTGCTTGCTGACCCAGCCAAGCAGTCACCTAGGTTTTCTCCCCCCTACGTTCTGTCAGTCACCTCGATTCCTGTTCCTTGTTGGTGGCACACCGTGCCGTGAACCATGGCTCTTGCTGGCGGCAGTTGTAGAAAAGGATCGTCGGACGAAAATTGTGTTGTCAGCCTAGTCTTCCGTGGATCTACCATCAACCGCCTTCTTTTGTTTTGCCTCTGGAAGCCTTGCGGTACAGCTGGCTCCTTGCAGATTATTGACTAGCACAGCTGGAGTTTCAATTATTCAACTATTTTCCTAGCACGATTCGGTTTAGCTTCTTGTGTCCAAGTGTTACATTCAATTCACGGTGCCTAAGATGAGTACCTCTAGTTACCGTCGTCGTCGTTTCCGATTAAGGCAATCGGTCAAGCCCTTTCAAGATTGATGCGACTTGCCACACACGGTCTTTAAGGTTATAGCCTAACTGCCTAAATACAACTTTTAGAGCGCTGACTACTGATGGATACTCGACAACCCAACAGACCTATCAACCGCACCGAAGTTCTGGTTGGTATCGCTGACAGCCAATGGCCTTTAACGAATCCCCACGCGCTTCTTCCAGGAGATATCATTCTAAGAGTAGGCGACTCGGGGTCGAATCGTTCAGCATACGCTCCATTCGAGGACGGCATTAACCGCGTCAGGCGGGAGATTCTCTCATGGTCTCTGCGCGACGAGCTGAAGCAGAATCGCGTGCCGCTTCAAGTGCTTCGTGGGAATAGGTGAGAAACGGCGATCTTTAGGCCATTTGGACCTAAGAAGCTGGTGAAGGTCCGCAATCTAAGTCGATGTTTGCTGCCTTCGTGGTCTTAGTTATTAGAAGCTGTGATTGTCTTGGATCTTGATTCTAAATCAACAGTAGTCTGGAAGGCACCTTCCTCCTACTTCCGCCCATCTTACATTCGTCTTACCTCCATCTCACTTTTGATAACCTCCGTTCCACCTCCGTCCGTCCTTCCTTACGCACTAAACACACTCATGCATTTCCGTCACCCTTCCATTCTCGCTTTCCAATCGGCGCTCTTTACGTCTTCTCCATCGTATCCTCTCTCTCCTCTTGCTTTCTCCCAACTTCATGCCGCATCCGTCTTTCATCTCTTGCTTTCATCTCATGTTGCTTATGCTTTGTTTCAGCCGTTTAGACATCTGGGCTCGAGTCACTCCGGCAGCGGCAGCAGAAGCCGCAGCGGCTGATGCCGCAGCTGCTGAAGCCGCACAAGGAGACGTCAGTTTCGACGGCAGTTACGACGACACCACCGCAAGCTTTGGAGCGGCCAGCTACCGGCTAGCCGGCACTTTTGAAACGGATTGCAGTTACGACGCTGGCGAGAACCTTCTAGAGGGCGTCGTTTTGTCCGAGGGCCGGCACGCGCTGTTCGCGCCGCTTGCAGCGTGGACGGAGGAGAGCATTCTGCGGCTAGAACGGATTAAAGCGTACGGCGCGCTGAGGAATAACAAGCCTCGGCCAGTGGAGAAAGAGGAGCAGCGCAACAAGGAGCAGCGCAACAGGCGCGGCAATGACTTGTACTCCAAATTACCCTCTGCTAGCGTCAGGGCTCGTCGTGCGGCGGGAATCGGTTGCTGTTTCGCAGGCGGCGCGGGGTATGGGGAAGAGGCGGAAGATGGGGAAGGGGCGGAGGACTCCCTGCCGGCGCGCGAGGCTGTGGGGAAGCTGGCGGAAGGAATTGCGCGGCTAAGGATGGGATGGGCGCGCGCAAGAGATGGAGCGGAGGAGGCGGAAGGGGTCAGAGCACCGCTTCTGGCGCATGCGGTGCTCCCAGCGGAGAGGGGGGACGTTATCACGCAGGATGGCGGTCGCGGCAAAGATGAGCGGTTGAATAGGGATGGTGCTGATATGCTCAGGGATGCTCGAATTGCCGGCGAACCTTCTTCCAATTCGCGTCACAACGAGATTGAACCTGCCGACACTCCTGCCGCCCACAAAACGAGTAATTTTACTGCCAGCGACACAGGCGCCTCCTATGGAACACGGAGCACGACAGCTGCCACGTCAGCAGGCGAGCCGCGGGTCGTGCTGCCGCACCTTTACTCTAAAGTGCCGGTTTCTGGGGAAGGCGGTAGCGGGGCAGGCTGGGGTAGGTGGGAAGATGGAGAGACATGCCTTCAGGAAGAGGAGGAAGGAGACGATGGGTACTGGCGGGAAAGAGCAGACGACGCTGGTGCTGCTGGTGATGCTGGTGATGCCGGTGCTGCCGGTGCTGCTGGTGCTGCCACTGGTGGCAGTGCTAGTCCGACGCTCGAAGAAGCGCGTGACAGGGGAGCGCGGACCAGACCGAGCTCTCCCACCCATCACACCACCAGCCCTGCTGCTTCCACTATGCCCGCGACTGACGCCGCTGCTCCCGGAACTGGTGCTGAAGGGGAAGCGGCGGAGATGCAGGAAAGGTTGTGGGCAGGGCGGGCCATGACAGCGCCTGAAGCCAGGCTGTGGCGGGGCCACGCATCAGGCATGCAGGCAGTAGGCATGCAAGCAGCAGGCATGCCGGCAGTAGGCATGCAAGCAGCAGGCATGCCGGCAGTAGGCATGCAGGCAGCAGGCATGCAGGCAGCCATGGCCAGCAGCATTGCAACAGATGGTGATACTTGCACAGACTCTCTCCCATCAGGCTTACCTACCTTTCTCCACTCCGGCTGCCTACCTGCCTTCCTACCTGCCGCCCCGAACCTGCCTTCGCATGCAACGCCGGGCCCAGTTCTCAAGGTTCGGCGGCATTGTATCGCTGAGGCGGTAGAGAAGGACGACTCGGGCGGCAGCAGCAAGGGTCTGGGCGGCAGCGGGCCGGCGTCTCTGTTCACTATTCTGATCATGCCGGCTGAGAGCGGGGGGAAGAAGGAGAGTCGTCGATTCTTTGACGTCAATCACACGATCGACGTAAGTTAGGGTCGTACGAGTGAGCGTTCTCTGGTTCTTGCAGTTTGCTTCAATCTGACGGTGTTATTTGTTTTTAAGCCAGCTTGACTCAGAGTTGCAGAATAATGCTTGTAGCGTTGCAGCAGCTGTGTTGCTGCTGCAACGGAGTCTCGCTCTGTTCCAACCCAACTTTCTTCCTGACAACTCATCTCTCTTCTCATCCCCTCCCACTCCCATCTCCTGACCCGCGTTTTTTCCTCTCCAGCGTGCCCTGCGTTGGTTCGCATCAGTGCGTGCGAGCGGGGCAGCACTCGAGCTGATGAACGCCCAAACCGAAGTCCTGCCGGTGCGGCTGGGCGGCATGGACGGCGACAAGCTCGCCAAGATGGCGCAGTACGGCAAGTGGACAGTAAAGACAAACGACGAGCAGCGCGGGGATCATATCTCTGTCCTCCGTGCTGTCCGGCTCTGGCTGGTCCCGGATTCCGAGGTGGAACTTACCCTGGTGCTGGCTTCCGGCGGGGTAAATAACGCAGCGTGCCCTCCCGACTGGGGGTTACTTCTGGAACAAACCCCCGAGGGAGTGGTGCACGTGGTGGGGGTGAGGGGGGGGAGTCCGGCGGAGAAAGGAGGAGTAGCCATGCTGCTGAGGATGGCACGGGCGAAGAAACGGCTGCTGCTGCTGTCGAGGCTGCAGGGGCAGGTGCTGCTGCCGTCGGTGATAGCCAATGGGCAGATAGACTGTGCTGACGTGGAGGCTCTGCAGGAGCAGCTGGTGCTGCAGGCACATCTGCCGTCCATCCCGCTGCGCCTCACGTTTGCCCTGTGAGAGGGGCTATTGGCCCGATGGTGAACATGACATGCTTCGAGTTGATTCGTGGGAAACTTCTGCTGCGTGCAACTGAAGACTGGCTTCTTTTTCAGAAGCTGTGGCGGTGGCAGCTTCTGCCTCTTTTGGGGGGGAGGAGGGGGAAGGGTTAGAGGAGGAAATTCACACCTATGATACAAGCATTTCTGATCAACATCTAGGGGCATTCACGCCTCTGGACTGGATTCCCTCGAAACCCTCCCGCGCTCCCCCATGCACACTCACACACTCCCTCGTTTATTTTCCTCGCCTTTACTCTTCTTCACTCTCTTTCTTTCTCCCTCCTCTCACCTCACCAGGTCGTCTCACCCCTCCACCACTCTCTACTCTTTTTTCTTTCTGCTTAGCCTGGTCCCCAAAACGGGCAGCCTAATCTTTTCATCACCTCCTGCTTTTGCTTTCATAAGTGGCTCCTATGCCCATCCCACATGGATGCCCCTCTGGTGCTCCAATACAGCAAGTGTTCGAGCACTTATGAATGTAAAAGTATGAGACTGTGAAGACAAACGCTTTATTGCGCCATCCTTTCTAGCAATTTTTGTGAGTGGCTTTAGAATGCCGTTGCTTGCTCTTCAGCTAGCATATTGTTTTTATTTATCTGGGAACACAACACACTATTATGAGTACACGTTCAAAATACCAACCTACAGAACACGCGATCCTGACGGCCCAAGCAATCCAGCAAATGTATCAGTTGCTGGTTCGAGGGGTCGTATATATAATAGGGTCGGACACGGCTGTATGGGTTCTGGTCTGGTATAGCATGGATGCAGTACGGTTACGAGTTCACATCCGGTAAATCCTTGCCACCGTTCTCCGCTCTACCATAACTACTGCCTAACTGTGGTACAGCTAAAACCCTGAAATTGCCGCCAACTGTGAATTGTGTCGCTTGACGATGCGCTGAGACACTATGCCTGAAAGCAAGAAGCAGCCAAGACGAGAAGCCGAGACCAGTCACCACAGACCAGCTCACATGCGAAGGATCTCCGAGCTGCCGTCGGCCCATGCGAAGAATTGCGACGAATGGAGTGGCGGTGAATGGAAGGCGATGAAAAGAATGGCGATGAATGGAGTGGCGACGAATGAAGCAAGGCCTAGCCTATGCCAGGCCCTTCTGGCAGTGGCCGCTACTACTCGTGAAATACACAGCATTTAAGCACGTCAGCTCACGTCACGTCTTGCCACGTGACGTCAGGCAGTGGGTCGTGCGAGCAGATACGCCACGTCAGTCTGTCAGTAACCGGCCAGCGTCAGCTCGACCGCGACCGTCAAATGGACGGCAGTGACGACGGCGACCGTCAAATGGACGGCAACGACGGCGGCGACGGTGACTGGAATGACGACCCGGCGCCATCAATCTCCACCACAGGTCCTCCTATCCCCGCATCGCTGCCGTCCGTTTCCATGATACCGGTGCTTTTTCAAGGAGTGAGAGTGTCGCCATGGCACGACGTTCCCCTCTATCCAGCCGACGACGAGGAATTAGGGTTGGACCCTTCGTTGGATTCGCACTCTGATTCGCACGCGCTCTCTGACTCGCCGGGTCCAGCTTCAGACCTGGTCGCGGAGTCGCTGGAATCGAGCTCGCAGCTGTCGCACGTTTCTGCGACGTCTGCGACGTCGTTTCGAATGATCTGCACGAACCCGGCAGGCAGGCGTCGCGTGCACGTGATCTCGCCAACGGACGGTCAGATCGTCGCCAGCTGCTGCGGCAATACCGAGGGATCTGCCACTGCTGCTGATTCTGCCACTGACTCTGCTGCTGCTGGGTGCAATGATGACGCGAAAGGCTTCTCTGCTACGGTGGTGGATTTCCCCTGGAACTGCGGAGTGCTGCCGCAGACCGCCACTGCCTCGTCAGCGGCGTCGCTGTCAGATGCTGACGTGTTGCTTCCTGTGGAAGCTGTGGACATTGCGCCGTCCCGGCACTCGGCTGGAGATATTTATGAGGTGCGAGCGTGGCTGCTGCTCTTTACCAGGCTACTTGTCCTGCTCTGAACGACTTGTGTACTTTTGAGTCGACTCAAACGCAGTCTCTCTGCACTCGAACGAGCGAGGCTGCTGCTCTTTACTTACCAGGTTACTTGTCCTCTCTGAACGATTTCTGTTCTGTCGCTTTTTTTTTCCTTGAAAATCCACTCTGTTGGCTATGATCAGATGCCGCGACAAATGCTCTCAAGTCGTCAATCCCTTGAACGCAACGCAACTGCCATCCTTGCTTTTGACTGCTTCTCTCCTCACTGCCACTCTTTAGGTTCTGAGCCCTCCTCCTCTCTTTCCATCCCGCATTGTCACCCCATCCTCCCTTTTCCCCTGCTGCCCTCCCCCACCGCCTCCCCCTGCCTCCTCCCTGCCTTCCCCCCCACCTGGTTCTTTCCCCCCCTCGCCCCACCAGGTGCACGCACATGCAGTCATCGCTATACCCAATCCCCTCACACTATCCGTGGCATACCGCCTGGTCGTGTCTGACGTCAGCGCTGAGTCAGCACCGTATGACCTGGACGGTAATGCGCTCATGGCTGTGCTTCAGCGCGTCTGCGCTTGGCTGGAGTCAACTGACACGTGGCTGCTCTCCGGCCATGCTGACGTGGCAATGCAGGCCACTGTGGACCCTGACGAGGTGGCAAAGGTTCTGGATGAGACCCACGTGGCATGGGCTGAGCTGTACGTGCTATCTCAGCCGTTCTTGCCCGCTGCCCTCCTGCTATCACCCATACCCGAATACCCAGCACACACAGAACCCGTTCCAGCAGCAGCACCAGCAGCAGCAACACTTAACCCCACACTCACTCTTGATTCCGCGCCCTCACCCGCTCCCAGCTCCTCTCTGCCTGATACCGCCACACTCCCACACACGCTTCCACTCCCACACACGGCCCCTGCTTCTAGGCCTGGCTCTGCACCGTCCCGCACTTGTGCTGCTGCAGACAAACCAGCATCAACACATGCGGCAGCAGCAGCAGCAACAGGAGCAGAAGCAGCAGCAGCAGGGGCAGCAGGGGCAGCAGAGGCAGCAGGGGCAGGAGGGGCAGCAGGGGCGGCAGCAGGCAGGCCAGGTGACGCCAGTTCATCGGGGAACCCTCCAGCCCTCACAAGGCGCAGCTCCACAGGAGGCCGCTCTGCCTCCAGGGCCGCTCTGCCTACAGGGGCAGCAGGGGCAGCAGCAGGGGCAGCAGCAGGGGCAGCAGCAGGGGCATCAGGGGCAGCAGCAGGGGCAGCAGTAGAGACGCCAGGCGATGACACAAGCTCATCAGAAGCCCCTCCAGCCCTCACAAGGCGCAGCTCCACAGGCGGCCGCTCTGCCTCCAGAGTCGGCCACTCTGCTCCTCCTCACCCGTCCGCCTCTTTCCCTTCCGCGTCTCTCGCTTCCGCCCCCCACCCTTCTACCGGGTCATATATCAGTGTGCCACACAGCGGGGACGCACACAGCAGTGGCGCATACAATGAGGGCGCACAACAGGGGGGCGCGCAGGTGGGGGGCGCGCAGGGCAGGGGCGTACACAGCGGAGGCGTACACAGCGGAGGCGTACACAGCAGGAGCGGACACAGCGGGGGTGGACAGGGGGGGGGAGGACCGAGGGGAGCCGCATCCAATGGGGGCGCACAGGTAGGCGAGAGGTGGCGAAGGGCAGCAGCAGGGGCACGATCCATGGCTGTTGGGGCGCAATCCGTGGCTGCTGCTGGTGGGGGAAGAGGAGGGGGCAGAGGGGGAATGGGGAGCGGAATGGCTGCTGGAGGGGGAGGAGGAAGGAGGGGAGAGGTTGCTGTAGGGAAAGGAGGGAGAGGAGGGAGAGGAGAGGGCGCGTTTGTGCTGAAGGGAAACATTTTGCCACAGCATGCAGCCAGCGTCACTCCTTCTGCTGCTGCTGCTGCTGCTGCTTCTGCAAGCTTTGAGCATGCAGCTGGTGCCAGCCCGGACAGTGTTACCAGTGGTGCTGCTAGTGCTGCCAGTGATGCTGTCAGTGGTGTTGGTCTTAGACCTAGTGCTGCTACATCTTCTGCTGCATCGTCTGCTGCCACTGTCACTGCTGCCTCTGCACCATTCCCAGGGCCATACCATAGGCGGGCAGAATCGCACGGCGCCATACCGTTACAAAGCCACCGGTTACCAGCAGCAGCTAGGTCACAGGGAGCTATTCCCTTACACCCCCCCCAGTCACCAACAGCTAGGTCACAGGGAGCAATGCCGCTACAGAACCACCGGCTACCAGCAGCAGCTAGGTCCCAAGGGGCTATTCCGTTAGAAACCCCCCAGTCACCAACAGCTAGGTCACAGGGAGCAATACCGCTACAGAACCTGCGGTTACAGGCACCTAGGTCACAAAGGGCTATTCCCTTACAGCCCCTTCAGTCACCATCAGGTAGGTCACAGGGACAGAGCCACCGGTTACCAGCAACACGGTCACAGGGGGCTATAGCATGTCAGAACCCCCAGTTACCAGCAGCTAGGTCCCAGGGGGCTTTTCCGTTAGAACCCCTCCAGTCACCAGCAACTAGGTCGCAGGGAGCAATACCGTTACAGAGGCCCCACTTCCCAGCAGCTAGGTCACAGGGGGCTATTCCCTTACAACCCCCCCAGTCTCCATCAGGTAGGTCACAGGGGAGCATACCACTGCATAGCTCCCAGTTACAAGCAGCTAGGTCACAGGGCGCTGTTCCGTTACAACCCCCCCAATCACCATCAGCCAGGTCACAGGGAGCGAGACCGTTACAGAGCCCCCGGTTACCAGCGACGCGGTCAGATGCTGCCATACCGTTACAGGGTGCACAGTTACCAGCGACAGGAAGAGGGAGGGTAGCAGCAGCAGAACAAGGGCGGGTCGCGGTGAAGGCAGCTTCTGAGTGGCTGGAGCCCGGAGGGCGACACTTCCGAGCAGCTAGTGCTTGCTTTGACTCTGCCACCCCTGTTGCTGCTGGTCCCGCTGGTTCTGCTGGTGCAGGTAGAAGGGTTGTGGTGAAGGCAGCTTCTGAGTGGTTGGAGCCCAGAGCACGGCACCACAGAGCTGCTAGTGCTGGCTTTGGCACTGCCACCACTGCTGCTGGCACTGCTGCTGCTGCTGCTGGTTCTGCTGGTTCTGCTGGTCATGCTGTTTCAAGTAGACCCGATTTTGAAGGCGTTGCTGCTGCAAAAAGAAGCGGTGTTGCTGCCTCAACCTCGAGTGCTGGCAGAGGGGCGGGATGGGCACTGACGCGTTCCATGTCAGCTCGGGAAGGGCGAGCAAGGGAGGGACGAGAAGGGGAAGGCAGAGTAAGCGACCCACGGCCAGGCAGGGACGATGAAGGGGAATCAGGGCTTAACCCACTGGTAGCCTCACCCGCGTTGACTGGGTGGAGGGGAAGAGCAATTATGGTTGGTGGGAGAACAGCGAGCTCTCGCAAGCCGAGCCTTTCTATTGGATGTGCCAGTGACCTCCTGCCGCACTCCTCGCCCCATGCTCCTCGTTCCTCAAGCCTTGGAGAAGATCACACCCCAGACAGTCACTTCCTGTACAGCCCAAACAACCACCTCATGTACAGTTCTCAACAGGTGCAACAGGCATGTGGCCGGGGCAGCAGCCTGCTGCCTGTGAGTGAGAGTGAGGTGGACGAGTTGAGCGCTGAGCCTTGCCAGAGATACGCAGGGAGCGGTGGGAGCGGCAGTGGAAGCAGCAGCTGTGGCGGTGGTAGTAGCAGCAGCAGCAGCAGCAATGGCACCGGCAGCAGTGGCACCGGCAGCAGTGGCACTGGCAGCAGTGACAACAGCAGCAGCAGGGCATACTTGCAGCATGAACGCTTACCCTCCAGGAACCCTGCTAGGATGGCAAGGCACAGCGTGGCCTGGGCTCACGACCACCACTTCCAGCATCAGCAGCAGCAGCAGCAGCAACAGCAGAGGAGGGGTGCAGGAGTGGAAGCGCGATCTGAAGGGCACAGACCGCCACCATCGCCAGGGTCAGCTGCCCGGCACAAGGAGAGGGCGTTCCGACGTGCCAGCACTGATTTCAGTGACCGCACGGGCTTGGGCGGCTACCACACAGGCTTGGGCGGCAACTCGGGCTTGGAGGCGGCTGGACGGTCTTGTTACAGTAACCGCGGAGCTGTGACATCCTCGGGTGCACAGGAGAGTGCGGAGTTCAATGCACACGGCATTGCAGCATTTGATGCACAAGGGGGCGTTGCACCGGACTCACAGAGGGGGTTGGCATCACAAGTGGACGAGTCCATTCCATTGCCTGAAACCACTCTCTGGCAAAAAGAAAGGGTGTTTCGGCGAGCAAGCTCAGACTGGAGTGACCGTGGTTACTGGGAGCCTGGCAGGCAGTCACATCATGACAATCATGAGGGGTAATGTTGGTGTTAGCAATGGCAATAGCACTGCCTCTAGCAGCGTTAGTGGCATGGGTAGGTTATAGCTGAGAGCAGCAGAGGAGCAAGTGGCTACTTATCAGGAAACACGACCCAGAGATAAGAAGCCGCGACCCAGTTTAGAAGTGGCAATGGTTACTTTGCTGATAACCCCGTTAAAAGTGTTGGGCTGAAAAAGCCCTTAGGATCTTTGCAGAGGTGAATTCTGGGTAGAGTTGATGTAGTAGCGGAAGCGTCTTAATAAAGAGTTTGTGAACTACCTTGCGCTAGTATGTGAGGGCAAAGTGAATTGATTAAAGCAAAGAGATACAAGATTATATATGAATACAGAGAATATGAAGAGACACAGTTATAACTACTTTACTGTTGCTGTTGCGGTTCGATACAGTGACGGCTCGGGCAACTGCTTTGTAAAGAGTCAGTTGTGTGTCCTTGCTGTCGCGCTGCATTTGTCAGGTCAAAGGTCGCTGACCTTTGACTTTCGCGTAACCTTCAGCGGTTACTTCAACCTCCGAGGGTTGACTTGCTTGTGCCTCGATATGCTCTGCTTTGCTTGTGCCTTAGTGTTTCGACACGACAGAGGCGCTTAGGAACTATTGTTTCCAACAAAAGGTGGCAATTGTCGCTAACCCCCATGAACAGAGAGGCAGTTTTGAATGAGGATGATGCATAGTGAGCAATGCAATATTTGTGCCATGTCCATCCAAAAAGCTCGCTGCATGTGTTTTCTGGCCCCCCTAGAGGTGCTGTTCTATTCTTGAAGATCACTGTAGTATACGGCTAATTTCTGTTTAAACTAATCTTGGTTGTAAGGAGGGAGCTTCCGCCTCACAATATCTGCCATCTGTCAGCCTCTTTTACCAATCCCTACACACTTTCTCCACCGCGTCGCCACGTCACGTCCCGTGGACCACCATCAGCCGAACCGTCACATAACCCCCTTGTTCATTGGACGACAATCATCACCTCGTCAGCCCCTCGAAAGCCGACATAGCCCAGCTCCTCGGTGAGCGGGAATTTGGGAAATCGGTGAGTCCCGTCCGTCCGTCTTCGATAATCTCGAGGTGGTGAGGTCAAATGACAGCCAGCCAGCCCAGCTGGGGGAGTAATCTCGAGGTGCCTTTTCCTAGAGGCACACATTTAGGCGGGCCGCCAGCAGCGCAATGACACTCGAGTTGCCACCAGCACGCAACGGAACACAACTTCCCTGACCAAGCCATCGCGCGGTGTACACATTTTATTCGTGCGATGTAGTCCATTTCAGTACGGTTCGAAGCGTTGGGATGTGGTGCTTGGGGTCCCCCACGAGAGATGCAATCAACGCCATGGCGTCTGACTGCTGACTGTCGTGTCGAGGATGGCGTCTGGTGGGAGCTGACGGCAGCCTCGAGATTCGCCAGGGTGGCGTAGAGTCCCCGAATCTACTAAGCACCACTAGCGGTTTCAACGGTTTCATGTGTCGATTATTGATTAGCTCGAGTCGCAGTCAGTTCAGTCAGCCGGTGTGCTGCTGAGACCGCCAAACGAGCAGGCCCAAACGATCAGTGAATCAAACGCTGAGTTGAATTGATGACATTACGATAAAGGTCCTTCGTCTGACTTGGCGAGTCCGACTTGCGCGTTACCCAAATTATCTTTTCACTGTTGAATGATCTCACGTTGCCTAATAATACCCCTTCTGTTGAAGTACGAGAGGCAAAGGTAAACTAGATTCGTCACTTAGTCCTGCAATTTGATCGTTCCTGATTCTTAATTTCTAGAAGCAGTAGCTTGGTATATAATTGGTTCCATTCGTCCAGCATCTCTTAGAACTGCTGCCGTCCCATCAACATGTCAGCAACATCTCTAGTCTCACGGCCTCAAACTGCTGGTTACACCAGCAAGCTATGTACCAGCACCGCTCGCAATGACCGCACACGTCTTTCAGTGAACCATGCTAGAGTCAAATTTCCTCGCCGGCGAGCGCTTCGAGGAGTCAATGTCCGCTGCGATGCCAACGAGAACACGAAGAATCATGGATCCGTATTAGTCGACGAAGAGTCGGCTTTAAAGGAGGAGCTCCGGAAAGCGACGCGGTTCGAGAAGCGATTAGAGGCTCAAGTTGGTGTCCCGCAAGAGCTGGAAATTTTCACGGGAGACGAGCTGCACTATGTAGAGACGTCCGATGGATGGCGACTCGCCCTCTGGCGTTACCTCCCATCTGAATCCGTGTGTATTTCTTCCGTTCCTGGTTTCCAGACCCTTCCGTTCCTCTCTTCTTTCTGCTTAATTTATGTACGAATGGCCGCTTCCGTCGCTTTGATGCCTCTCTTGCGTCAAGAAGGTCCGATTCACCGTGTGATGTTATTTTTTGTTGTTCTTGCTGGTGTTTGCGAATCAGGTTCCTCGGAAAGCTCATCCAGTCCTCCTCCTTTCCGGAATTGCCACCAATGCTCTCGGATACGATTTGTCACAAGAGGTAACTTCCCTTTCATTTTAGCCGTTGAGTAAGTGTCGTTTTTCCTCTGAGTCTTCTATGTTGCCTCTCTGATTTGAAGCCAGACTTTGTGTTGGGGATTCCAAAGAAGCCACCCGGGTTGACACGTCATCATCTGAACCCTGTTCTCCTGCAGGTGTCTTTGGCTCGACATCTGGCAGATCAAGGGTTCGATACCTGGGTGCTCGAGCTACGCGGAGCAGGCTTAAGCCAGTCTCCCTTCTCTATAGCAGGGGCGCAGGGTTTGTCATCTGCCAAGAGTTCTGCCATTGGTCCTATTGAAGGACCCCCTATTACATTTGTTAATGGTTCTGTAAATGGCACGATGAACGCTGCCATTGATACCGGAAACTCAGTTAATGGGTTTCCAGTTAACGGAGCTTCTACGAACGAGTACGCGAACGGATCTAGTCCGAGCGGCTCGGCTGTTAGTAGCAGCAGCAGAACAGATGGTACGACAAACGGCTCTGTGTTCACTCCGTTGTTTTCAAGTGATGACGAAGATTCAACAGCAGCTGCCACTGTAGCAACATCAACAGCAACAGCAACAGCAACGCCAACACCAGCAGAAGTTCCAGAAAGGCCTGCAGCGACAAGTTCGGATGCGTCAGAAGGTTTCAGCGTTTCGAGCAGCTTATCCCGAACCATGCAGCAGCTGCGGAATTATTTCGACCAATTCACCCGTTCAGAACCAGCAATGGATCCGCAGGCACTCAGACCGAAGCTAAAATCCTCAGAGATTAGATTGAGAGAAGCTCTGGACCACACAAGCCTGCAGCAGCCTGTGGCGCTGCTTGACTTGCAGCACATACTCGTTCAGCTGCAGACCTGCAGTGACGTGGAGCTGACGTCATCTGGCGTGACACAGCTGAGGCGCGCCCTAGATTCCTTCTTCAGCGATGCTCAACAATCACCTGACGTTTCACCTGAGGCTTTTGCAGCGATGAAAGATCTGGCTGATCTGGTAGGCCCATTGAAATCCGACGCCACTCTTCCCACTGCCGCTGCCTCCTTCCTCCAGCAGACCACCCGGCTGCTGAGCAACAGCATCGCCTCTTCCAACCTCGAGAAACGGCTAGCTGAGCTTCAGAAACGGCTGGGGGAAATTGTCGAGTCTAGACAGGGTGTAGCGACGCCAGGAGTGGCTGAGCTGTACGAGCAGCTGATTGGTGTGATTCTGCAGACACAGGACGTGGCGAGCCTTGCCAAGGAGTATAACTGGGATTTTGACACGTATCTGTATGATGACCTGCCAGCTGCCATGCAGTATGTGCGGAAATGGTCCCGGCCGCATGATGGGAAGATCCTGGCCGTTGGTCATTCCATGGGAGGGATTCTACTGTACTCGCGAATGGCTGCTCTCGGTAAGAATGTGCTCCATTAGCTGACGCTATTGTGCATTTATTTCTGTTGTATTTCCTGGTTTTGCATGTCTTTGTCCCTCACTCGATCTCCCGCTTTTTCTTTTGCTCTCGTTCTGTGCAGGTCCAGATGCGGGTCTGTTGGGGGTGGTGACGGTGGCATCGTCACTCGAATACTGGATGGCCAACTCCAGCTTGAAGCTGCTACGCCCACTCGTAAGTGCTTCTGCTTCAAAAGCATGTCCGTATTGAATGAAGATACATGTAATCATGCACACCACCACCCACACTAGTTCCATCACCTGTTGCATCATCCATTACACCACAAGTTACACCACCAGCTGTATCACCAGAGAACCCTGCTAACAGACCAGACCACCATCAACAGTGCTGGCGCAAGAAGGGCTGCCTGGCATGGCCACAGACCGCAAGGGAACCCTTTGTTTTAGAAAGTTGCTTTTCACAATCACATCTGTTCTTTCCCTCCTGAGGCGCCCCAGAAACCCTCACCTGAAGCGCCTCAGAAGCCTTATTTCTGAGGCGCTCCAGAAGCCCTTTTAGATCTCATTCTCGCAGCTCATTGCGCCTCTCCCGTTTCTCACCTTCCTCTCATAGTTCCAAAGCCGGCCATGCATGGGCCTTTGAATTCTTAGTTCTCCCCAGCCGTCACTCCCCTACTCCTTTCCCCATTCAGACCTGCCTTGCTTGAACCGTAAGACTTCGAGTATTTCCTGTTGCACAACTGATGCAATCAGCTCTCCCACTGATACCTCTAACGGCCCCTCACTCTTTCACCACTCCCCTGTTACCCCACTCCCTTTCCCAGTCTGGCCCTGCACGGGCCCTCAACTTCCCAGTCATCCCGGTGGCAGTGTTGGCGCGAGCAGCACTGCCCCTCATGACTACCGGAACCACGATAACCATGCTTCGCTCCCTTCCCCGCCTTCCCTCCCCGCCTTTCCTCTCTTCCTTTCCTCCCCTCCTTTCCTCCCCATCCCAGTCTGGCCCTGCGCGGGCGCTCAACTTCCCAGTCATCCCGGTGGCAGTGCTGGCGCGAGCAGCGCTACCTCTCATGACCCAGCCGCCCTTCACACTGGCGTGGGTGGCGCACCAGGTGTCAGCCCGTGATGCCATGGACCCTCAGCTCTTTCAAAAGCTCATGCAGCACAACTTCTGTGAGTGGGGGGTGAGGAGCCACGGGATAGTATGGCGTAGAATGGGGTAGTATGGATTGGGGCAACACAGTGGGTAGTACACCAGGTCTCAGGCAGGGTTATCGTGGACTCAACGCTCTTTTACGAGCTCATTTACAACAGCTTCTGCTTTTGCAGCAGCTCAACTCACATTCTTCCAGTGTTTCTGTTCGCCCTCCCCTCCAGGCACCATCTTTGTGAAGCTCCTGCTGCAGATGTAGTCTATCTTCACACCGAGCAGGCTGCGGATGAGCAACAACTCAACTTCCCATTTCCCCATTCTTCTATGTGTCATTCCCCCAGGCACCATCCCCGTGAAGCTCCTGCTGCAAATGGAGTCCATCTTCACGCCAGGCGGGCTGCGCAGTCGCAGCGGGTCAATCTCGTATCTCAAGGGGCTGAGGGACTGCTACACGCCCGTGCTCGCCCTTGCTGGCGACTCCGACGGTGTCTGCCCACCCCTCCTTGTTACGGGTCAGTCCGTGCAGCTCTGGTTGTCAGAGGTCAGTGTGCAACAAGTAAATGTTAGTCCATCTCGTACCTCAAGGGGCTCAGGGACTGCTACACGCCCGTGCTCGCCCTTGCTGGTGATGCTGATGGCGTCTGCCCGCCACTGCTTGTCACAGGTCAGTCACTGCAGCTCTGCTCGTCCGAGGTCAGTCACTGTAGTTCCCATGTTCCTACCACTTGGTCAGCCTGAAAGATCGTCACAGACGTGTTGTCAAAGTGAATGTTTCTCGATATTTTCTCCTTTGGAGTCGCCTCAAATGTTGTCCATGTATGTCCTTTGTAAAGCTGATTCTCACTCTCCTCCACCTCCTCCCTGACCCGTTTCCGATGAACGTGGTGTGTGGCCTACAGAAACTCTGAAGGCCATCCCATCTTCCAACGTTGAGTACCGGTTGTTTGGAGGGTCGGACAACCGTCGCTACGGGCACTACGACATGCTAGTGGGCAAACATGTGAGTACTCGTGCTATGTGAGTGGGTATGACATGTGAGTGTTCGTGCTATGTGAGTGGTTGTGACAGTTGAGCAATCGTGACATGTGAGGTGGTATGTCATGTGAGCAGCCATGCCATGTGACTAACATAGCATAGCATGGTATGAGCAGCATCTAAGCAAGATGACCAAACCCTGTGACTCTGTACTGAAGAGTTTCACCCTTCACACTAATGACAATCACTGCTGTGCTGTGCCATATGTTTTTCCATATTCCAGGCACCAGAGGAAGTGTACCCAGTCATTACAGATTTTCTGTCGAAGACTGATGGTGCTTACGGGGAGCCAGTCAGGGCTGAAGACGAGTTTCCTTCCACAATGTCTGCCATGTCAGTTCAACAAGATAATGGCATGCATGCAATATAACCACTGTAAATAGATGGCCTAAAAATTTGCAGATACCTAGTTCAAGTGTGTCTGAGCTTCCAAGGGCGGGTCAGGCATACAATAGTTCATTTGCCATCATTGCTGTTCAGAGAGGCAGAGCAGGCAAACCGCTCTAGGATGTACACCATCTTTTTCCACGAGCCTAGAGTGAACGAAGGTCTGAACCCCTAGCTTGACCCACACTCTGGTATCTGTCCAGAAATTGGAAAAAATTCACTGCTTTCGTGTTTTACTGAGCACATGCTACAAAAGGTAATGCGTCAATACATCTTCGGTCCCAAAATTATATGATTCTTAGTACTTGGCTCGTCATTAAAGATACCTTACATCATTCATAAGACACCCCCATCATGAATTCAGAAGGTTTTCCTTCGTTACAAAGCAATCCCATCATTTGCAGAGGCTATCCCTGAAATCCAGCATGGGCGTCCGCGATGACGACACCACAATCGATAAGAGATGCCAAGCAACTGCCACACCGCGCAACTGCAGTGAGACCTGCAGATACAAGAGCAAAACACAACAGCTGATAAAGCACCGTCACGGGACCTATTGAAACGAACCGAATTATCCGTCAGTGATCATTCGACAGAATGTGGGGAGGGGGACAAAGGCACAACCACTTGATCAGCTGCGTGCCTGGGTATAGTTCCGCCCCGTTTGACCGTGCTCTAGGCGACCTTGAGCGCTGCATGTGCCACGGTAATCAGGCACACCAGTGACTCTAATTGAGTCGCCATGCAGAAACATTCAACTAAGTCCGATAGACCACGGCCCCTACTTCCAGCGAGTAATATAAATTGCGAAGCAAAAACGAAGGAGCGTGGGAGACGCGCGGTAACATACCTTAGCGCCTTATGTAAAGCCAGTCGTTCGAGAAGTGCATTCGGATCGGCCTGTTTAGCCGCATTTCACGCTTCACCATGATCCTTCAGCCGGAACCACGGAGCCAAGCCGGATCTGAAAGGGTGCGTCGGATAGTCGGAAATAGTATCAAGGGAACAATAGTTATATATGTCGTTAGTGCAATTAAACGAGCAGGACCAGAGCAGCAAGAGGAATGTAAGAAGCTGATTGTCGAGGGGTGACTAAGCCACCTCATGAAGAAAATACAGAGGTGGCATGAGATAGTGATGCCCTTTCGCCGACCCGGCCATTCTTTTAGGAGGCTTCGAGCGCTGAATGGGTCACGTAATGGACGCACCAGTGACTCTATAGAAGCCGCCAAGTTGCATGTTCAAATGGAAGCCATTGCAGTAAAGACCACTTTAGGCGCGATACAATGTGAACAACGAAACCCGTGCGAAGAGAATGGGCGTAGGGATCCTCGTACCCACCCTTAATGCGGTCGGACTTTCAACGCATTTGTAGCCGCGGATCGAGCCTCTCGGGTCTCAGTTGGCGCTGTCACGATCTCAGATGAACTCGGCCATTCAGCCTCCAGGAGGTCGCCGACTCCGCATCAACCGCATTGATGGGAAGCCTCAGCCCCCACTTTCACGGCTACGGCATAGTGCAAGCTTCGGCAAGCTTCCCAGCTCGTAGGAAGACACAGGCAAGGATGGTACAGAAACAGGGCGTGGAACGGGAAATGGATGAGAAATGAAGATTGGCGGGTATTTGGCCCCAGCACCAAGGTGGGAGCTGCTGTGGCGAAAAGTGATGGCGACTGGATACAATTCGCCTGGTGGCTTACCCCAACCTCGCTCAGGTTTGGGTGTGCACTGTGCACCAAAGCAGATTCGCTTAGGGCGGGTCCAGCGCGTACGTTTTCCGTACACTACAGTTCATCCAGTGCGGTAGTCTGTCTTGCGTCACGGTTCAAAACGGTGCATTTTTAGAACCGCTGTGCACCGTTGGATACCTTTTCAAACCACTACGAATGAACTGTATAGTACCTGTAAACGTACGCGCTGGATTCCCCCTTATCCGTTCCAGCACAGCAACGAGTAGACTCGTTTTCGGTACAAGCCTGACACATCCAACTCATGCAGACTTGTGGTGCATATTTACCTGCAAGCAAAAATGGCAGCAGCAACTGAAATGGGGCTTCTCACAAGGATAATTACAGAAATTTAACCGCCAAAAAAATGGTATATACAGCTTTACATGATATCGAGCCAGAATTCTTTAATATTAATATCGGCTCATCAACTCAACTTTGCGTCCACTGGAAAATATAGTCAATTGGGTTTCCTATTTTGGCCTACGCAAAAACATTTATCAAAGTTAAGTCCAGATAATTCACGGTTGTGTAGGGTTCCACCAACTCCCTTGCCACATGTGTCAGCCACCCTCCACTACTTACCAAAGCTCAAAATCCTTCCGTCAAGCCCGCTCCCGCTCCCATGTCCTTTTTTCAAGCCCGCTTCCGGTCCATCCTTCGCTCTGTAGCGCCTGCTCCATCACAAGAGGACCAGCGCTATCGTGCTTCTTAGGTTTCGGGTTAGAAAGGTGAGGTGAGGCTAAGCTTCTGCATGTGGGTCTGCATCAACCAAAGCTGGCTATTTTGTATGAGGTAACCTGTCCAATCTAAGCTACCCATTACCTTTTCAGCTATGTTCTGTTATCAACGTTTCGAGCTCCAATCCTGCTGTTTTGTTTTTCGTCCGTTCCCTTCCGATTTTACTTGTTGCGGGACGTTTTTGCGGAAACAGTGTACATTAATGTTAATTTAGTACCGAAGAATCAGGTAGTGCTTCAACAACGTTACACAACATGCCTCAGAAAGTGCACTGCAGTCTATTTAGGGGGAAACGACAGGAGTGTCTGCAAGAGAAAATCGAGCACATCCAATCCTGATGCTCTCTGCTCCTGTCATCCTTATCTCCATCACCATTCGTCCTGAATTCTTGTTATCGCTTATCACGTCTTCCAATTCAGGCACTGTTGCAGCCGCCTTGTCCCTGCCGGAGTGACAAGCCTTCCCACTTGACCGTGTGCCAGTCCTTCACCGATTCAATCGGATTCCGAATCCACTCCACAATATTCACTCTAAGTCTTTCCCATGGAGGGCGAAGGCAACGCCAGCTCTACAGGACCGGGGGCGATGCCGCCAAGGCCAGTAGACACAGCCTCTGCAGGTAACAGCCTCTGCAGGTAACAGCCTCTGGTAGTTTTTGCGGTGACCCAGAAATCACATCCGCAGGTAACAGCCGATCTGTACACCGCGCGTTCGCTCTACATCATTCATCCACGCTGCTCAGCTCATTATGTCCTCCCCCCACCCAACCCAACCTCCTCCTCTTCATCCCCCCCCCCCTCCCCCCCCCCTTTGCCCCCACTCACTCCCTTTCCCCCCGATGTTTTCTTTCCTCGCTCCAACCCAGCAGCTCCACCAGCACCGCCTGCCATGGCATCTCAAGCCCCAGCAGCACTAACAGCCACAGCTGCTGCTCCCGCCGCGCCAGACAGCATTCCCAGGCCTCCTCCAAAGCCGTATGAGTCTGCTGCCGCTCCAGGAAGCAGCCCTGCCAGCGTTTCCGAGCCTTTCGTCCCGAAGCAGCCGGTTCGGGAGGACATGGTTCGGCAGGCCGTGAGCTTCCTCTCCAACCCTAAGGTCCGGAGCTCCCCGGTTCGGTTCCGCCGAGCCTTTCTGGAGCGCAAGGGCATGTCAGCTGAGGAGATTGATGAAGCCTTCAGACGCTGCCCTGTGAGTCACTTTGCTTAGTTCTTCTTGGGTGGGAGAGGGGGGAGAAAGGTGGACGTAGATGAAAGGTGGTAGGTGGAGGAGGGCGATGGTGGGGTGGGGAGAAGGGCAGTGGGTGGGAATAAGTTTCTCCTGGAAGTTTCGCCATTTGGAACATGTGCACGAGTGAGGGCTTTTCTGGTTCCACTTCATTGCCAATGCGTCGTGCCCACTGCCCCCCTCGGTGCTCCTGCTGCCCCCTCACCAGTATCCCTCTACAGAATCAAAGGACGTGGAGGTTAGGTTATGAGGCGCCTCAACCCCCCCCTCCTCTTCCCCCCTTTCACCCCTTGCACCCCTTCCACCCCGTCTTTTATTCCCCCTTGTCCCCACTGCCTCACACCAGGACCCCTCAACAGGGTCAGAGGACGTGGAGGTGGGCGCGTCTTCCCAGCCCCTGCCTGCTGCTCGCAAGACCCCTGCTGCCACCACCGCTGCTGCTGCAGAGCCACCTGCCGCTGCCGCTCCCCCTCCTCCTGCTGCTGCTGTTGCTCCTGGTCCGCAGCAGCAGGCACAGGCGCAGCAGGCGTTTTCATGGTCCAAGCTGGCAGTGGCTCTGGCTGTTGTGGGGGCGGGCACTGCCGGAACAGCTGCCGTTGCAAAGGTGAATAGTCTGAACAAATTCATTCCCTACCCGAGTTCTCATGTGTTCTCGTTTCCGTCCATTGTGTTGGACCCCCCTCTCCTTCCCCCCTCCCCCCCCCCCTGCTCCCTCTCTTTCTCTTCGCATTCCCTTGTGTTATGTTCTCCGCAACTCCCTCTCTCGTTCCAAATTTCCCCTTTTCTCTCGTCCCCATTGTCCTTGTCCCGCACCTCACCTCACCCGCCCTGTGTGTGTCTCATCATGCATCTGTCTCCGGTGCCACCGCCATCATCATCATCATCATCATCATCATCATCATCATCATCATCATCATCATCATCATCATCATCATCATCATCATCATCATCATCATCATCATCATCATCATCATCATCATCATCATCATCATTGCTATCTTTCTGCCCCCCCTGCCTTGTGAAAACAGAAGTGTTTTGAGACGTCTCAAAACTTAGTGTGTCTCATCATGCCTCTGTCTCCGGTGCCACTGCCATCATCATCATTGCTATCTCTCTGCCCCCCTGCCTTCCATTCAGCGTCTCCTCCTCCCACGCCTCCAGGCCTGTTTTGAGTTGAGACTTCTGAACTGAATTTCTGTTTTTTTTTTTTTTTAATCCATTCCATTGGTATCTCCCTCTTGGTTTTTTGAGTTGACTAAAAAAACGAGTCTTTGGTGTCTCCCTCTTTGTCTGCTGAGCAGCGACTCGTGCTCCCGCGCCTCAAGACCTGGCTTCAGGAAACTGCAGCACAGGAGTCGTCCAAGAAAGGTACACTTGCCTTGCCACACTTGGCGTTGCACCAGCCAGCACGTGGCAGGCAGGCATGGCTTCACATGGCTGCTTCTTGCTTTCTTGCGACGCTTTGCTCTGTTGTTTTCGTGGGTTCTGGTTCTGACGCGCCTCAAAACGCTTGCTACACGTTGCTCTGTCTGTTGTTGCTGTGTTGTCGACTCAAAAATCGACTCACTACACGCTTGCTACATGTTGCTCTGTCTGTTGTTGCTGTGTTGTCGACTCAAAAATCGACTCACTACACGCTTGCTACATGTTGCTCTGTCTGTTGTTGCTGTGTTGTCGACTCAAAAATCGACTCACTACACGCTTGCTACATGTTGCTCTGTCTGTTGTTGCTGTGTTGTCGACTCAAAAATCGACTCACTACACGCTTGCTACATGTTGCTCTGTCTGTTGTTGCTGTGTTGTCGACTCAAAAATCGACTCACTACATGCTTGCTACATGTTGCTGTGTGTGTTGTTGCTGTGTGTGTTGTTGCTGTGTGTGTTGTTTCTGTGTTGTGTTGTGTTGTGTGTGCTTGTAGCCACCGCCTCACTCTTGCACACACAACACAGCAACACACCAAAACAGAGTGCTTGTTGCTGAATCGATTCACTCTTTTTTCTCACCCGTTCCGTTTCTCCGGGCACACTTGGTAATCCAATTCCACGCTTCCATGCGTGTGTGTGTGGGGGGGGGGGGGGGATATTTGCCGTGCGTGGCCTGTCTGCATTTGTTTCCGTCCTTCTATGTGCAAGTAGGCAAGCGCCGAGGCAAACAGGCAGCGAAAAAGAGCAGCAAGGGGAAGAAGGCGAGCAGGCGGCAAGGGCAGGGTACTGATCCAGACAAGCCGGAGGAGGAACGGGAGGATGGGAAGGAGGAGGTAGAGGCAGAGGAGGAGGGGAGCAGTGACAGCAGCAGCAGCTCCAGCAGTCGCAGTGAGTCAGAGAGCGAGTCAGAGACAGGGGATTCAGAGAGCGAAGAGGAGAGGGGGAAGGGGAGGAGGGGGAAAGGAAGGCACAGTAGAGGGAGGAAAGGGAGGAGGGGAGGCAGGAGGGGGGGAGGCAGCAAGGATGGGTCCCAGGCGGCGTTGCTGCGGGCATTGGAAGCCATGACTGCAGAGGTGCAGCAGCTCAAGGCCGCCAACGCTGCTGGTGCTGCCGGTGCCGGTGTTGTGGGAGCAGCAGCGGCTGGCATTGCTGCTGCAGGATCGGACATGCGCTCTGGTGAGTCCATCTGGCTGCCATCCGTCCAAGCGCGTGCACTTGGTGCTTTTTTTTAGGCCCATTATTCCAATAGCCCCTCCCAATCCTCCTCTCTCTTCCCCCCTCCCTTTCCCCCCTCCCCCTCTGGGCCTCTTCTGCGATTTTCTCTTCCGTTTCACCTCTCCTCCAATGCACAGCCTCTTCCTCTCGGCCTTGCGTGTTCCTTTTGAGAATTCTCAGAAGTGATTTTTATGTAGCATTCTCCTCGAATGCACAGCCTCTTCCTCTCAACCTTGCGTGTTTCTTTTTCCCGATTAGGTATCTTCCAACCGAATCTGTCTCTCCATTTTTCATACCCACCCGCTTTTCTTCCTCCGTTCAGCCCTTTCGTCTCGTCAGCCTACCCAACAGCAGCAGCAGCAGCAACACAGTAACGAAGCCCCCTACGCCCAGCCCTACTCGGCTCAGTCCTATTCCCCTCAGCCCTATTCCGCCCAGCCGTGGCGACCGTCTAGTGCCCCCGCGCCCTCTTCCCCCTCTGCTGCTCTGGGCGCCGGTGGCAGTAGCACTGCCACTCCTGGTGCGCCTGGTGTCGGATCAGCTAATGCAGGGGCATCTAATGGCCCTCCCCATCCCAAGTCCTTTTACGAGGTGAGGAACGCTTTCGCTCAACCAAGGTGCCATGATACCCTATACCAAGGAATTTCCTCTGTCACTGCCTAGCTGCTCTTTCTCCCTATACCTGAAGATTGCCTCTTCAGGTGGTCTTTTTCTGTTGAGAGGATTTCCTGCAATCCCCATTTCCTCATTCGCCCTTACTGTGCCTATAGCCACGCCACCCTCCCTTTGCTGATACTGTCCATGTGATGCCCGGGGGAGGGGGAGGGGGAGGGGGAGGGGGAGGGGGAGGGGGAGGGGAGGATGTGCAGGTGATAAAAATGGTGAAGCGGGAAGAAAAATTATGAGTCAGTCTTAAAATTGTATATTTTGTCCCATCCGTGATTATGAATGCTCAGGTGATGGAAATGGTGAAGCGGGGAGAAACGCCTCCAGGAATCAAGGTACCTTCTTGTCTCGACTCTTAGTTAGGAGGCATTTGTCAGAGCATTCGTCAGAGCATCAGAGAATTTGTCAGAGCATTTGAGCATTTGCCATATTATTTGAGCATTTGTCAGAGCATTTGCACCAGCGGTGCTGCTCAAGCCATTTCTGTCCCCGTTTTCCCGTTGTTGTATTTTGTTATCTGTTCATCTATCAACAAGGGTATGAGCATGACTGTACTGGTATGCTTGCCCTTTCCTCTCACTCCACATATTCGCCCATTCTTCCCATGCCCATTGTGCGCATGCCCTGAAGGACTAGCATTTTCTAAAAGATTCACGGTACTCCTGAATTAAACAAATGGGGAAAGATGATTCTTTCACGAGTATCGTGAAAGAATCATCTTAACTTCAGGGAAATCGTGAATCTCACCCGTTCTGCCCATGCCCGCAGTGCCCTAATGCCACTGCAGTAAATCATTCAACCACTGCCCGTAAATTCCATTCCCATCCCCATCTCACTCCCCATGCTCATCATCCCCATCGGTTTTCCTGTCCCTCAGTGCATCAATAGCATGCCCCACATACACACCGTGTGAGATGAGAAAAAATGATTGAGTCGACCAAAAAAACATCCCGATCCTTATTCCCATCGCCCAACACATCAACGACAATCCTGACCATGGACGTGTATTTTGCGGCGCCTCAGAATACACCTCAGCAACTGCCTGCCATTGTGCCTATTACCCCGCCCCGCCCGCATCCCCATCCTTATTCCCATTCCTCAGGACATCAACGACAAGCCCCCCAATCCCGAGCAGCCCCCTACAGACTCCCGCCTGACGCGCCCTCTCAAGGTATGCTGCCTGCCTGCCTGTCCAAACAAGCCTCCTAACCTTCTCTTTATTCGCCCATGCCCCTGGGGAATCCAGCCCCTTGCCCTCTCTCAGCCCCTTGCCCTCTCTCAGCCCCTTGCCCTCTCTCAGCCCCTTGCCCTCTCTCAGTCCCTTGCCTCTTTTGCATGCCATGCCACGTGATATAAGTGATGTTTTGAGATGTCTCAAAACATCACTTTTATCACTTGCCCTCTCTCAGTCCCTTTCCTCTTTTGCGTGCCACGCCACGCCTCCCCCTGCCCCATCATACCCTCCCCGTGCCTTACCCTTGTTGATGCCGCTCAACTTAGCCCACTCCCACCTTCCCGTTTCCCATTCTTTTCTCCCATCTGGCCCCCCTTCTCCCCCTGTTTTCCCTTGTTCCCCCGGTCTCCTCCACCTTTCATCCTGTGAAGTAGCCCTGGGAGTCTGGAGCAGCACAGCAGGGACCCGGCACCACCTCACCAGCAGCAGCAGTGCCAGCAAGAGGAGCAGCAGGAGCAGCAGCAGGAGTAGGAACAGGAGCAGCAGGAGGAGGGTTCCCAGCGGGGGGTCAAGCAAGCAGGCCACAGTCTGCTGGCATGAGCTCTGCTAACCCGGCCTACCCACCCAACCAGCCATACCCTTACGGACCTAGTCAGCCTTACACAGCCAGCCAGCCGTACCAAACCAGTGCCCCATACACGAGCAACCAGTCGTACCAAGCCAAGCAGCCTTACCAAACCAACCAGCCATACCAGCAGCAGCAGCAGCAGCAGCAGCAGTTTGGGCACCCGTCTGCTTACAACCAGGGTGCCATGGGTTCAGCTTATGGGGCTACTAACGGGGGTGACTATAACGGAGGGATGGGCTATGCTGGTGTGAGTGGTGGTGCTGGTAACGGCTCTGTGGATGAGGCTCCCTGGTCCCGCCGCCCGCCTGCCACGTCATCATCAGCTGCTGCTGCTGACTCAGCAGCCGCAGCTGCTGCCTCTGGAATGTTCTCCAATTCTCCCAGTGGAGAAGCATCAGGGGGTGCAGCCGTGGAGACAGAAGTGGGAGCAACAGTGGGTATCTCAGGTGGCTCATCAGGTGTCCCATCAGGTGTCCCATCAGGTGTCCCATCAGGTGTCCCATCAGGTGGACCATCAGGGGACGCATCAGGTGGAGGGGGGTGGAGGCCACCAGCACTTCTGAAGCCGGTGCTGCCAGAAGCAGCCACAGCCATCCGCCAGTGGCCTGCTGCTAGAGCACCCAACTACTGGGGCGGCGCTTCCGCCTCCTCCCCTGCTGACGCCCCCGCTGCTGATTCCCTTGCTGCTGATGGTACCACTGGTGCGGCAGATGCTGCTGCCGCTGCCGCTGCGGCTGGTCTTGCAGGGTTTGGTGCATCTGTATTACCATCATCTTCTGCTGCTGATGTTGCTCCTGCTGCTGCTGCTCCCACGTCTGCTCCTGTTCCTCTCCCTCTGCCGCCTGCTCTCGGTGTGCCTTCGGCTGCCCAAGCAGCATGTGCTGCAGTAGAGGCTGCTGCACCGTCTGTAATGGCTCCTCCTGCGGCTACAGCATCAGTGATTGATGTTCCCCCTGGGCCTGCTTTGGTGCTGGGAGGGATGCAATCCAGCAATGGCATTGGTGAGGTGGAGGTGGGTGGGAGTGCAGCAGCAGCATCCGACGGAGTGAATGCAGCGCCAGAGGTGTAGCACCGGCTGTAGCCGCAGTGTCTGTAGCAGCTACACCGGCCATAGCAGCACCAAATGTAGCAGCACCGGCTGTAGCAGCAGCACTGTCTGTACTAGTCCCTGCAGCCCAGCAACAGCAACGGCAGTGGTGAGACAGCAGAGGGTGGGAGTGCAGCAGCAGCATCAAAGGGAGTGAGTGCAGTGCCAGAGGTGTAGCATCGGCTGTAGCAGCACCGGCGCATTGGATGTTGTAGCATGTAGCAGGGATGCAGGATATGAGTCAACAACAGGGTGGGTGGAGCATTGTTGTTGCCCAGAACAAAATTACTGTCAAGTTGGGGTGTTCTCCTTGCTTTTTTTTCTCGATACACAATCTGTTGTAAATACAATTGTGCTAGCGGTTCCGTGTATACCAGTTGTGGTTCAATGTTCGGGAGGAAGGCGTTGGTCGGCTGTATGGCATTGGGGGCTGGTTGTGAGTCAGAGACGTGTGGGTGGAGAGGGCAGTGGTGTGAAGGGGAAGAGGAGAGGACCGGCAGGAAATCGAGTTGGCTAGAAATTTATGTCCTGAAGTGCTCTTTTACCTTGAAACTGTTGGGCTGAAACGCCCTAGGATCTTTGTAGAGTTGAAGTCTGAGTAAGTGATGTAATAGCGGAAGCGTTGAATAAAGTCCTTGAACCACCTTGCGCTAGTATGTGAGGGCAAAGTAAGTTTATTAAAGCAAAGAGATACATGAATAAATATATGAGTACAGAGAATATGAAGAGACATTATAACTACTTTACTCTTGCGGTTCGATACAGTGCGACTCGGGCAACTGCTCAATGTCGAGTCAGTTGTGTGTCCTTGCTGTCGCGCTGCGTCAGGTCAAAGGTCGCTGACCTTTGACTTTCTCGTAACCTCCAGCGGTTACGTTAACTTCCGAGGGTTGACTCGAGATGCTTCGATTTGAGCTGCTTCGCTTGTGTCTTGAGTTCTGACACGACAGAGGCGCTTGAACTATTGTTCCCAACACTCCCCTTCGCTTCTGGAGTGTCGCTGATGGTGACGTGGCTTTGTCCAGTCAGCAGCATGCAGTACTCGAACTTCTGTTTTCCGAGCTTCTTGGTCAAGTAGTCAGCTGCCATCTCGGACGTGGGACAGTAGGATAGTTTGAGTTTCCCTTTCTCGATCTCGTCCTTCACGAAGAAGTATCGCAGGGCGATATGCTTCGTTCTGTTCGCGAATCCGCTCTTGTTGGTGATGCGAATTGCAGATTGGTTGTCGCAGAACAAGGTGAAGTTGGGTAACTCGGCTAACTTCGCTTCTTCCAGTAGCTCGCGAAGGTAGAGTCCTTCCTTGGTGGCTGAGCAGAAGGCGATATATTCTGCTTCAGCTGAAGAGAGAGCAATTAGTTCCTGCTTGCTCGATTGCCAGGAGATAGGTCCGATACGTTCGAGGCGGTAGTTATAGCCAGTGCGGGAGCGCCTGTTATCTGAGTCGCCGGCGTGATCGGCATCGACGTAGCCGATTAGTTTCGTCGGCGTAGTTGTGTTTTTGTAGTACGTCAGGCCGATCGTTGCGGTGCTCACGAAATAGTGAAGAGCGCGGTCGAGTTCCGCCAGGTGTTCTGTTTCGGGTCTCTTGAGATAGGTAGCAAGTTGACTTGCGGAGTAGGACAGATTTGGGCGGCAGGTGTGAGCGCGAAGCGTTTGGCGATGGTGTCGGCATACTTTTCGGCGCTGAGGTAGATCGCGTTTTCTTCTTCGCGGATGTTGAGTCCGAGATACTGAGTGACGGTAGTGGAGACCGTGAGTGTGAGGTCCCTCTTCAGCTCCCCTTCGAACCAGGTAGTTATGTCGTCGGTAGAACCGATCGTCGACGTACACGATAAGCAGAATGTAGTTGGCGTCTTTGGTGAGTCAGTACATGCCTTGGTCGTGAGGCAGTTGACGGAATCCGATGCGGGTGAGGCGGGTGTGTAGGTGCTGTTGCCACAGCCGTGGGGCCTGTTTGATTCCGTAGAGCGATTTCAGTAGCTGGCAAACCTGATTAGGTTCCCCGTGGGTACCATGTGGGAGCTCAACGAAGATTTCGGCGTCGACGGGTGCGTAGAGGAAGGCGTTAGCGACGTCGATTTGCCGTAGTTTTCTTTTCTTCATGGCGGCGATCGGAGTGAGGTGTGTCGGCTAACCGGGGCGAATGTCTCGGTGAAGTCCCGTCCGTGTTCCTGATTGAATCCTCGCACGACCCAGCGTGCTTTGAACTTCTCGATTGTGGCGTCTGCCTTCGTTTTGATGCGGAAGACCCATTTCCCGGTGAGGATGGTCTTGTTCCTTGCCACGCTAACTGGAACGACTTTCCAAGTGTTCCGTTCCAAGTGTTCCGTTCCAAGGCCTTTAATTCTCTGTCCATAGCTTCACGCCATTTCTCCCTGTGTTCCCCCCCCAGAGCCTGCTGAACTGTCGCAGGCTCTTTAGGAAGAGGATGGCCGTGGACTGCGGTGACGAGGCCGAGAATCTGCAGTCCAGTCTGTGAGTAACGGGGGAGTGTTGTGTCCTCGGGATAAGCTGCTTCATCTCCCGCTTCTGGGCCGGTTATGAAATTCGGTCCTATTTTTTCTGCTTCGTTGGTGTTGACTGTCGCAGGTGTTACGTAACCATTGTCGGCGAAGTGGTAGAAGACTTCGGCGTTGGCGCTTTCGCGAGGATTTTCTTCGTCTATGGGGACGTTGACGGAGCAGAACGGGAAGCTGACCACGCTGCTGCAGCTCTCGAGCAAGGAAGTAGCGCAGAGCAATGTGCTTCGTCCTGTGCTCCAGTCTGTGCTCCTCACACAAGGCAATGGTTGCCTTGTTGTCGACGTACAGCACTGGAGGAGAACAAGGCCGCTCTCCAAGGTCAGTCAGCAGGTAGGTGAGCCAGCGAAGCTCCTGGGCAGCCATGGCCGTGGCGTAGATCTCAGCCTCACAGCTGGAGCTGAGAACCAAAGAAGAGCGAGTAGAGCGCCAAGAGACAGAGCCAGAGCCAAGACTGAAGGTGTAACCCTAAGACGACCTCTGAGTAGCCAAGTCGTCAGCCCAAGAAGCGTCTGAGTGCCCAGTGAGCACAGGCCGCTCACGCCCTCCAAGCACTAGCCCCATGCCCGACGTACTGCACAAGTAGCGCAACACCCTCTTAGCTGCATCCATGTGCTCATTCCGGTGACGGCCGTGAGCAACATAGCGTGCTAAGATGCTGAGAGGGTATGCAAGGTCAGGTCGAGTGCAGGTCATCAGGTACATGAGGCAGCCCACAAGCTCTGGATACGGACCACTAGACTCTACGGACTCATCTGAAGGCAGAGCTGAGAGCGAGTGTCCCGTAGGCAGAGGAGTGGACTGAGGCGAGGAGTACGTGAAGCCGAAGCGCTGAAGGACCTGCTGCACCATGTGTGACTGAGTCAGGGTAATGGTGCGGCGTGCTCTGTCCCGGGTGATCCGCAAGCCAAGATAGCTTGTCAGTTCACCCAGGTCTGTGCACGTGTGTCTCTTCTGCAGCTCGGACTTCACGTGGGCGAGTGCGGCAGTGTCCGCAGTGGCAAAGACCAAGTCGTCGACGTACACGAGGATGTAGAACGGCGGCAGCGAGGTGTCGGTGTGCAGAAACAGCGACGGGTCAGCAGTAGAAGGAGCAAACCCAAGAGCCGCAAGTGTAGTCCTCAGTGTGTCGTGCCACTCACGCGGCGCCTGGCGGAGACCGTAGACTGGCCGCCGGAGGCTCCACTGGGTACCAGGAGGGAACGACCCAGTGAAGCCAGGAGGGCGGCGCAGCCAGATCTCCTCGTGCAGGCGGCCCTGCAGGAAAGCAGTGCTGAAGTCAAGAGAGTGTAGCTCGTAGTCACGCTGAGCAGCGACGTGCAGTAGAACCCGAAGAGTGGTCATCTTCGGGGTCGGGGAGAAGGTCTGAAAGAAGTCAACTCCCTGTCGCTGACTGAAGCCACGAGCCACGTAACGCGCCTTGAAGACAGGCGGAGAACCCGGCGGCCGCTTCACCCTGAAGATCCACATGCCACTGACGATGTTCGCCCCAGGAGGGGGAACAGCGTCAACGTAGGTGCCTGTGGACTTCCAGGAAGCCATCTCTGCGTCCATGGCTGACTGCCACTAAGAGGAGTAGGGACCGGCCATCGCCTCTGCGTAAGAGCGTGGGGTCGGGATGTCTAGAGCATCCGGGTCTCCCTCAGGGGCAACAAGCATGGACACGAGATGGGGCAAAGCGGCGGCAAAGCACTGGAACTCCTCCTGCCTGTCCTCAAGGACGTCCGTGCCAAGAGCACAGTCACCCCCGACAGACGTAGGACAGGCAGACGCAGACGCAGCAGACGCAGACTCAGCAGACTCAGCAGACTCAGCAACAAGACTGGCAGCGTAGTCCAGACGACACGCAGCAGCAAAGTCGACCAGCTCAGCAACTAGGGCAGACGCAGCAGCGGACTCAAAGGAAGGGTCAGTGACAAGAGAAGCAAGAAGACGCGTGACAGTAGGACTGGCAGCACGGCGAGAGTCCGACTCCGGGTCGGCAAGTGTAGGAAGAGAAGACTGAGGAGGAGAAGGCAAAGGGGCACGCAGAGGAGCAGTGGACGGACGTAGAGACATCTGGTGTGTGCCAGGGACAGGAGGAGGACGCTAACGCGAACCGCGACCACTAGAGCGAGCAGCTCGGACTGGCGACGCAGGGCGGGACGCAGGCTCACGACGCTCAGCAAGACCTCCAGTAGGACCAGCGTAGGGAGAAGGAGAAGGCAGGGGAGAGGCGGGCTGTAACTGTGACTGTGACGGGACAGGCTGCGGACACTCTACGGGAGGAGAAGGACCAGTGGAAGGCGGGAGACCAAGAACCTGCTGAAGGAGCGGAACGAAGTACGGCCGAGGCCGCGCACCACCGCCAGAGACAGCAAGGATAGCACCAACACCTCCAGAGGCAGCACCAGCACCAGTAGCAGCTCCAACTCCAGCACCACCAGCAGCTGCAGAAGTACCCGCAGTAGGACCGACAGTCGT